CTCTCTCTCTCTCTCTCCCCGTTTCTCTTTCTCGGTGGCGATTTGGTTCGTCATCGTCGACAAACTGGAACGAGCGGCTGTACGCCGGTCGAAAATAACCCGCGTCTAATTTGGTGCCCGTGAACTGAACTGGCACGGCGCGCACGAGGCCCGGGCCGCAATCTCCCTGAACACGAGGCGCGGATCCCCGTGAGCGCCCACTCTCCCTTTTCTTCAGGGCCGATCTCTGCGTCTGTGTATAACACGCGCGTGGAATTGCAGACGCGGCTTAATTATCGCGTTTTCGGCCTCTAATAGAAGCTAGGACGCTCGGAGTGACGCATGCCGCCTCGCGATGGATTCAACTGATCTCCTCGATCGTAAACTCTCCCTCGGCGTATATCGTTATGGAATTAGAATTAATCAATTAAAAAAAAAAAGTTTTCTTATACCGCGTAAAACGTATTATCTAAGATATATTTGCAGATAAAGTCCGCGTTATCAAAATTTTTGTCACCGCGTTACTAGGACTTCACCTTTCGCTCACTTTTTTTGCATCCATAAAACGCTTACTTTTGTATCAAAAAATGATGTAACTGACAATGCGACATGCAAGTGTTTTATTTAAGAATAAATTTCACTTCAATTGAGATCGATCATGAAGGATCATTCGTGCAAGAAGATCCATGAAGGATTATTTACGCTAGTTGTTCGCCAATATATTCGCAGAAACGATAGTCACGTCGACGTTTATTGAGTAATGATTCAAATCTCCTTCGTGTCGCTTTCAATAACGTCGTTGTGTCGCAAGTTATCCTCAGTCTCGGATTGAAGATTAATGTCCACCGACCCGCCTACATCTTTTGTTTCGAAATTATTTTTAAATGGAGAGGCTGCAACCGAGAGGCAAGAGATAGTATAATACATACTCTATATCGCGCATGTAGCCTAACGAGCGCTGTACATCGACCTATTTATTTTGGTTAGGCTATTAAATTACCGAGGCTACCTCTTACCACCGATTCTACCAATATCTGCTGATTTCATAGCAAACGAAATTTGATTTATGAGAAATCATTGCATTTTATCAGCACATTAAATATTTGCTTTATACTTTAATTTTTTGCACATTTTTTATGCATTTTAATAATTCAAAAAGAAAAATATGATTAATTTTTAATAATATTGAATATTGTTAATTATATAAGAATTTTTCAGGTATACGTAAAAAATCTATAACTTTAAGTTAGAGTTAATAATATAAAAATTTTAAAGTAATTAGAACTAGGATATTTGATAATCATTTATTAATTTATACATTATATATTATTTTTAATCTTTCAGATCACTTTTAGGAGGAAGCATAATTAGAAATAAGCATAAATTCTTAAAAATATCTTGCAATAGGAAAGGCTTTTAAAATAATAAATAAAAAATAATAAATGTATGTAATAATGAATAAATAAGATTTCAAACCAAGTTTACAAACTTTTGCTTTAGAAATGCATAATATGTAGCTAAATAGCTGCCAGGGAAAATTATAAGTTTGTCGACTTCAATTCATTTTTAAAAGCGCGTAAATTATTTCATCGTCAGTTCCAAATTTTGGCATTTTGCAATGATTCTCAACGTTTCACTTCAGTCTTTGCACGCATCAAGCGATGACGAAATTGTTTTGACACACTTACAAGTCCTGGGAAACCCGACGTTCGACTATTACACGGGACAACAAGATGCATTTTTTCTTAGCCTGGCCACGGATCATCGACACAAATATTATCCAATGATAAAGAGTCGCGAAATAAGCGATTGCGCGCGACGGCGCGTTAGAAATAAATTCCGCAGCTCTCTCGGAATAAACAGCGTTGACGTTTAGTACGTCCTCTCCCGATGTATACGCCGTTCTCGTCGAATCGCATATTATGCGCCAAATTCGCGACAAATGATAGCCGGCTTCTTTCGATTAGATTGTCCGCTCGGCTTAATTGGCGAGCGCACGTCTGGCGCGCATCCGCTTGGAAAATAGCTATGATTTAAAGCGAATCGGCACATTATTCAACCCTTCGTTGACGCATTATTCGCGTCTTACTATGCGCGATGTATAGTCGATATTTGTACGTTTCAGTTCATTCAATAAAGTCGAGTAAGTGGCGTATGCAAAGAGCGTCCTTTACGAGTCTAAATCTGAATCAATATAGAAAGCTTATTTCATTCTACGCATTAAATACAAATATGTTTTGATTTAATAATTTTCTATAGTACATTAATAAATTCTTTAATGTAATAATACTATTAATTATAAAAATGCGTCTGGTACATCGATATTAAATTAATATAGTTGACATTTGGGATACTTGTGTAGATATTATTTATATTAACTCATACTGCTTTTTCTAATCTACGTTATTGTGCTAAATTGATAAAAAAAATTTATCTACTAAATAATAATTCAGATATCTTCGATTGTTTGAAAATTCAAAACATTTTAAGTGAACCCCCTTAAAATGATAATTAAATACATTTTTATGTAAAAAGTCACGCGAAGAAGTCGGCAGTGAAATGAATCAGCGACAAGTTAGACGCACACGCGCCGCACACAAACGCGGTATGTAATGAGTTACGGCGGATATAATGCCAACTGTTTTAGATTCTGACTCAGCGGATCCCCGCTAGAGATCCACATTTCGAATTATTTAACGAATTCCGTAGGAAAACGGTGGACTTAAATAAATCGCGCAATTGCGTCGCGCACTACTCGTGTCAATTCGCGCGGGGGTATCGGATGTCCGCGTATATCGAGATCCTCTGGCAGCGAACGAACATTTAGCACATGAATGAAAATTTATCATTCTCATAAAGAATCCCTTAATAGAACGTCTTCTCCACAGGCGGTGCGTCAATCTTTATCCGGTAGCAAAATATACGTATTATACCTTTACAAAGACACAATTTTAGAACGACATTTAATTTTCATTTCATTTATTGATATTTCTGGATATCAATTTTTAACGCTTAAAATATTTGCCTATAATATTTTCCTAATAAGCAGGCTAATTAATTATTAACGCAATACTGCCTTTCGCGCCGTCGGAAAATGTATTGGTAAGGCACCGACGAGGTATTAAAAATGGCTGGCCAAAGGTATAAATTTTGACTGTCAAGTGGGCCCGGTGGGTCCGGGGGTAATTAAAGAACGATAATTACCAACCATTTTAACTGTTAACCGAGAATAATAAATATGTTCGTTTTACGTTGACCAAATCACTATTTTATTATCGACAGTGAAAAGTTGACATTGTTATTTTTCAATTTTTGCAACGTTTAATAATATAATAGTGATTATTTGTCATCCTTGGTGCAGCCAAAATGGTTGATAAACGCCATCGTTCTTTCATTACGCCCTCCGGGCAGTCACGAAAATTTGCCTTCAGCTGACTGTCTTTAATAATAAACCTCGTCGGTTCTGTATTGACATAACTATATATATATCGTTTATGAAAATTATAAACATGTATTTTATTATTCGTTATTTTCTAATTGTCTGTAACGAATTTCACATTCCGGAAACGACGACAACATAATTAAACGGTTGTTGTGTAAAACGTGATCTCATATACGATCGAAGAATTCGCTCGTCGAATTTAAACGCGCGTTTAAGATGCGCCCACTTGCAGTCGAGTATATCATCGTTGATTTTCCGTACGGATTCAATGTAGACCCGCGTAAGTTTACGCGTTCTACACGAGGGAGCTCGTAATAATATGAAACTGAATGTTTAGCCAGCGAGAACGGCGCGCACGCAGTGTCAGATCGCGTTCGTTCTCTATCGTTGCGTAAGGCCGCCAAATTTAGCTGGTGGACGGCACTTAAAAACGGCGATATCGATTACAAAATAATCCCGGCCGCGCACAATCGACACCACGACGATTTCACGGCACGAACACGTAATAACGCAATTAACTGCAAACGCAATGTTAATCTTTTTTACTTAATTATTATATTCTTATTTTCAATGTCATTAGCATTAATAATAAATTAATACTCAGGCGTTTCGGATTAATTGATGTCACTTGGATTGACCAGTATCGATTAAAAGGATTAATTGCTTTCCGATCATGAACATTTATTTATGTTAAAGGATAACGCGAAGGCGCGATTTAAATTAGGTTAGCGGGCGTATCATTCGCACAATTTTTTTACATTAATAATCGTTCAATTTTATTATCATTTACGGGATCGAAAATTCGTTCGTTGTTCAACTTTACCAATAATTAACAAATCATGCGCAAATAAATTTCCACAAGCGATGTATTAACGTTAATATCCGTCATACCGAATTCTGACGATGCGAAGGACAATATTGCGTTAATTGATCATTAATTGGCTAATAATTAATAGCTTCTTTGCGAAAACATTTTTATCATTACAAGTATCATGAAAGGTTGATGTGGCGTCATTAGGTAAAAATTAAATATTATTCTGCAATTAATGTGTGTTTATATAAGGACCCCTTACAGAAATCCAAGTTAATATGTGCCAATTTGAAAAATAAAAATTACTTATTCTGATTATTAAAATCACTGTTAATTAATCACTATACCTTTCAATATTAAATTTCTGCAACGTTGCTATCGAATAAAAATTCATATCAGACTGCAGAGCGATCGTTCTATTGCGAAAGGAAATAAATTACAATGTTTAGAAGATGAGTAATATTAATTAATGCGTAAAGATAATTATAAAAGTAGCATAATTAATTCGATTGTACTCGCGCGAGTGTCATATATGTATGCATTGTTAGAGAAGAGCACGTTTAGCATATATGTATATTACGTGATAAATAAGCGCGGTTTAATTGCGCGACGTAATCGCATGATTATGATTTCGTAATCTCGACTTATGACAGATGACGTATGTCTTTCGGCACTGCATTAACGGTGCCAACGCCAATTAAGAACGCGATTAGTGGCGTACTTACGATGTCAATTTCATTCACACAATGCGAATGATGTATTGCCACGTTGCATCACGCGATTGAAACGCGATAGAATATATGTACAATTTAACCAGAGCACGTCCTTACAAAACTTTCTCCCAGAGAGAATTCTTCAAACTCTCGACTCGAGCGTGCACAGGATATTTCACTGCGAATCTCGAGCTTACACATTTCCAAATTTCTCTTAAAACACAAAAATACGATGTAGAAAAAATTAATGTTCTGCGAACAGAGATTTGAAGGGATCGCGGACCAATTTTCAAGATTCAAGCTAATTTCATCTCCGATAAGAAACTCATGCGAAACTCTTTGTCGCGATGTCCATTTTTAACGTCTCTGAGGAACTTCAGTTCGAGATAAAACATCTCGCACAAAAATCGAAATGATGATGTAACAAAAAAAAATCGATAAAAAGAGAAAAGAATAAAAAACTTATTACTATTGTAAAAATTATTATAGCAAGATAAGATTCTTACTCTCGACGTAAAAGTACGGTACGCCGCGATAATCCCGTGAGAGATTTGCACAGAAATATATAAAAAAGAATCCAAGGATGTGATATCCTCGCGACGAGATCTACGTCCGCGCACTGCCGGCGATCTACACTACCGTGTCGTAATCGATCGCGATCGGTCTCTTTGTCGCGTAGTGGATCGAGACGCGGCGCGCGCGCGCGTGCGAAAATCGGGTCGCCCTTACCTAAAAACGATCGTCACGAGGTGTTATCCCCCGGGATGCTGTTTCCTCGGAAGTAGCGGCGCGACTCTCACGGTCGTCGCGACGCCCGAATTATTTCCCACTCTTCGCGTTCGCGTTCTATCCCTACTCATCTACCTCCCGGTGGTTCCACGGCGACCGTGTGAAAATTAGCCGACCACGCACGGTGGTTCCAATTCCTTCGAAAGCTGGTCAAAACCTCGTTCTTAAAAAAATATATAAAAACAGAAATATGCCTACAGTTTAATTTAATTTATTAAATATTAAAAAAAAAGATATTATTTAATTTAACTAATTAATTATTAATAATAAATAACGCATATAAATACTTTTGGCTCAGAAGCTTTTGGAGTCGTGCGACGTAGATGCGTTTCTCCCGGTAAAATCGACCTGTACCAGGTGGACGGATGTCCCCGTCGTCGGCATGGCAACCTCCGTCGGGCCGCGACGGCACAACAAATATGAACTGCGCCCGAGGTGGCCGCGATCGTCGCCTGACGCTGATCGCAATTCTTTTCGCGAGTCTCACGAGTGCGTTCCACGCGAACAATGGGGTACTCGAGTACTGGAGGCCGGCCGCGTGCAAACACGACGAGTACTTCGACGCGGTCTCCCTGTCCTGCACGCGATGCAACGCCAGCCGGAATCTCGTGCCGGCCGCGGACCGTGGGTGCTTTTTTGATTTCATTCCCTCGCTATTTGATCTGTTGTCCCATTTGCATTCCACCGTCCACGTGTGTATGTGTTTCCCGCAGGTCTGCGATGTCGGTGCGACGAGTTCAGCGAGACGATCGGTTTCGAGAACGGCAGTCCGCTGTGCGCCGCGTGCGGCCCCAACATGACAGCGACCGCCGACGGAAAGGATTGCGTCCTGCGCCCGAATGAAACGTGCAAATGCTCCTCGAACCAAATAAGACGTAAGCTTAATGATATTTTGAGCTTATATTTTGCACATATTTTGACTGCCTTGTCATCCGTATCTGAATGACGTGTAAAATTCAAAGATTCCGTCAGCATCACTTATTTATGGATCGATTTTATTTATCCAATTAAAAATTATTTTACTAAGTATTTAAAAAAATAATAATAAAATTGTATTTAAAAGAAAACATAAAAAATATTAAAGTAATGCACTAGATTTTAGTAAAAATTTAATTTATATTAGTTTAATGTCGAAATCAGCAGTAATTTCTTTTCGATCAACTTATAATTTCTGAAAGCAAATTTGGACCGCGGTGCGATTTTACGGAAGACAGCCTTTTGTTTTGCCTTCTCTACAACAAAATTGATTAAATCTTTAAATTTTTTACTCTCACTCGCAGTGGACCGAAATGTAAATGGCGCACTGCTGGATGCTGTGCTCTGCGTAACGTGCGTCGAGGGCACGTATCCGTCGCCCGATTGCTCCAAATGCTTGCCGTGCGGCAACCGCGAGAACAGCGGCCACGTTAATTGCGTGTGCCCGGGCGCGACACACGTGAGAATACAAAATTATTGTCTGCACAAAGACGACGTCGCCGACTGGCCGGACATCAGAAGCACGTATCTGATGAAGTTCCGCAGCGGGCACGTCGACAGTTATTATCTGAGAAGCGAACTGCAAATCGCGGCGCATCTCTGTAAGGTGAGCACACAATATATGTACTTGCGCGCAAATGGTGTCGAACTTCCTCGTAAAGACGCGTGAAAAGACGGTACACGGAATTTTTTTTTAATTTATCCTACAAATCATGTTAATTGTGGTACAATATAGTATTTAGGCAAATTTTACTGTGCACAACAAGATTTTACAGTAAAATTTATTGTAATGTACAGTAAAATTTGCCTAAATACTATGTATATTGTCCCACAATTAACAGGGTATTTGCAGGGTAAATTAAAAAAAAATTATCTCCGTGTAGACAATAATTACAATGACTTAATTATTAATTGTACGATAACTGATCGTAAAGACTCTATGTGATTAACGGGTTTCAGAGGAGAGACAGGATGGCGTGCGAGCATTTGTCGAACATATGCGCCCTGACCCTTTACAGCGACGGTGTAGCGTGCATGTTTTTTATGCATACGCCTATGGCACCCGTATGGTTGTTTTACAGTAGACAAGACGCGGCGGCGGTCATAAACAACACGAGGATATCCGAGAGATACAGCCTTAGAAAAGGAGATAATGTACGATACAAAATCATTGCGTAGAAAATTAAAAAATTATTGTCACAGAAGAATTATTATATATAAATACAGAATTCTTATTATTTAATGAAATGATATATGTATATATATATTTTTTTTTCAGAATACCATCCTCGATTTCACGATCGCGAGATTCGCGTTGAACGGCAAATTCTTGTCCATCGGCAGACCGACTCTACCCTGCCAATTTCTGAGGAACGTGAGGTTCGGGGTAAATTTCAGCAAAAGGTGTAAAATCACCGCTGCTGAATTGCTCAACGCACAAGTAGAATTGCTGTCTCCTTACTTAGTGTTTAGAGAGGACAATAAATCGTTTATACACGCATTACCTGTGATCATTAAGTCGCCAGATCAGGTAAGATTTCGATAATAATTACAATAACGAAAAAATTTATATACAATAATATACAAGTATTTTTCCTTGCTCTGTAGAATATTAAGGAAATTTCGCATCAGCAATTGGTGCGGAAGTTCTTTCTGGTCGACAATGTAAGCGGTTTCAAAGCGTTACCGTCGTTTACGCACAATGGATTCACGATGGCGCCAGAGCTTTCCGCGCTTCGTTGCATGAAATCTCTGACCATTTTGTAAGTCGCTCGTAGCTTTTGTTACAAATCTTCTTGCAGACGAATTGACATTAATTCTATTTTCAGAGTAAACGTTCAGAACGGGAAAGATCACGGCAAGATCTTCGCGCCCGTTCTGATCGTGGAATACGGCGAGCTGACGTATCAAGACTTCCTCGACAATTCCGATGTCACGATAGATTACAAAGTTGCATTTGTACTGAAGGATAACGATATAGATTATAATATTCAGGTAAAAATTCTTACGCCGATATTTTATAATTTTCTCTAAAATATTAATGTGTATATTTTTTTTAGGTGACTATCGGAGTGTTTACGGCAGTAGCATTGATATTTTCCAGTGTCAAGGCGTGGAGTTATTATAAACGTAATCACAACGGCAATCTCAGCATGGCCGTTTTATTGTGGTTCCTGATCTACGCCATGGGCGCGGTTGGAAACGCGATCACGTTTGTGTGCATCAGTACGTCTGTGTATCTGTTCGTCTTTTACAAAGGCCAAACCGTACCGTACGTCCTCCTTCCCGACGAAGATAGCGAGGAAAAGATGCGAACGTACATTATCGTAGCATTTAGCTTTAAAGTAAGTAAAGCAACGTGACGTTTTATCTAAAATTAACAATCTGCACGTGAACGATCAGATAGATAATGTGATCAGATGTCCCATTTTTAAGTTGACTGTTTTACTGTCCCGCCAAAATATGTCAAAATCTGAAAAGTGTATTATTTAAAAAAAAAATTATTTTATTTATCTTTACATCCATATTTATACACATTCTCCTTCCCCAGTATAAAATTGTCTCGTTTTAGATCCAAAAATATCCGGTCACATTACGCTTGAAATTTATAGCATCTTACATGTTAATTCGTTTCTTTCAGATTGCAGAAATGATAGGATTCGTCTATCAGCACTGGGGTCTGAGCGTGTTCTTCATCGACTGGGAGCAACCGAGGACCGTACACGACCTACCGAAGTACGACTCCCCGCATACTTCCTTGCGGAAGTCGTATTCCAACAGATTTCCCAAGGGCGAGAGCAAATCTTCGAGGATAACGTCGGACGTCATCGCGTCCAAGCGGAGGAGGCGATTGCAGAGGACCACGAACAGAAACGCAAGCCCCAGCGAAATGTCCAGGTCCTCGTCGACCGAAAAGTACACGCCGGACTTCTCCTCCGTTTGCTCGATCGCGAGATCGCCGCTGCAGGAGGCGACCGAGCGCGGCCACGCGCACGACTTCCCGATCAGCGTCTGGAGGACTTACTACATCGCGAACGAATGGTACAAACTGCTGACCAGAAGAAGGATAAACGTAGCGTTGCAATCGATTTACACCCTGTGCCTCCTGCAGGTCAGCCGCTGGCGACGATACAAAAGAGAAATTTTATGCCGCGGCACAAGAAAACAATAATTTCCGTCGCCGTTTCAGATATTCGATTTGAAGTCGTGGATGCTCGCGATACCGGACTCGACTATCGCCGGGAGATCTACCGAGGCGGAGAACAATTTCACGCTGCAATTCGCAATCTGCACGTTCGTGTACCTGTCCATTTATCTCGCGCAGTGGCTCGTTCGCTTCACGTTTTACGAGAGATACATTAGAAACAGACTGCACAAGTTCGTGGATCTATGCTCGATCGCGAACATCAGCGTGTTCATCATGGCGCACAATTATTACGGCTTTTATATCCATGGAAGGTAATTTAAGCGTGTTCTCAGAAAGATGAAAGAGATGAATTGACGAGTGGTGCTTTCGACAGATCAGTACATGGATTTGCGGATACCGATCTTCCCACTTTGATAAACGATCTCAGGAAGGAGGAGGACGACCTGTGCGCGCACAGAGGCCTGGTGCCCGGCACAATCGACCAGACTTTTATATTGTCGTTGACCGAATCGTTTAGATCGTTGTACGACGAGCTTATGAGGCAAAAGAACAATGTACGATATTATTTTATGCGAGAGCACTGTTAATAACATTTCGTTTATCTTCGTGTAAAAGAGAAAATCTTTGATATTGCTAAATGCATTTTTTTTTACAAAAAAAAAGAATATCGTGCAAAAGAATTATTGCACAACTCGTGATACATTTTGCGCAGGGAGGCGTGGGAATTTTTAAAGGAGGCGACACACCTTCCAGAAATTGGAAACAGTTATTTGAAACGAAGTCAAAAGTCAGGCTCTTTCTAATGCAGTTCCTGGATCACTGTTCGGAAAATGAAGATTATATAATCAAGGAGCAGCACATATTAGAAAAGTTGTGCGACGTTCTTTTCGCAGATGCCAAGGACAAATCCGTTTTCTACATCGGTATCAGAAAACTGCCAAGATCTTTAGTGACAGAATGCTAATTAAGACATTGTCGTTTCGATAAATCTAATTTTATTCTTGCAGATAACAATTGTTCCTTCAACAAAGTGGCGCTTCACGGAAACGAATGGCTGTTGGTGACGTTTGAGATCACCGTGTTCGCCTTCTTTCTGGCGTTGTACAACTCTTACATTTTCGCCTGTATAGCGACCGTTCTCGTATCGCAGTTATTCTTACTAATCATTAGATGCAACGTTAAGAGGAATCTCTGCAACAAATCGCTGTTGGACAAGAGATTCCTAATGTAACCGCGAAGATAAAACAAAAGTGCAACAGTAATTAATCAACAGTATTAAATAAACAAATATTAACGGATGCGTTGCAGTTAGTGCTTTTATAATTTATTTTCGTTAAGCTTAATTGAACATACCTTTACACTCTACTATGTCTTACTTCCTCATTGCCACATTAATATCTAAAAGCGAGCACTAATGATGACCGTCCCCGTGATGATCGTCCCCGTGATGATGTCCATGGCCCGTGTAGTCGATACCAAAGTATTGTTCGACGGCGATAGTTATCAGGAACGCTGGTACGCCGATCCTCCAGCCTCTGGTTAGAGTTACTAAGGCGCGCATGAAAGGCGTCTGGCTTCTTTTGTAGCGCCACACATGGTTCCTCAGCCAAGGATCCTTCAGTCCTTTCTTGGCCAACTCTTCTTGAACACGTTTCAGTTCCGGTACATCCTCCACCTTGTAGATATCAGGGCTGGGTATTTTGTACGGCGGTGCGTGATGATGCGCGTCATGACCTCCCATCTGTGGAAGATATAAATTACATATAATCTTTTTCATTGTTTCATATGCATTTCAACAATAATTACTGATTGTTTATTAATTTCCTGGCTATCTAACAGTCAATAATAATCGTGTTAAACATTTACTTTGCATTACTTTGCATTGTATATTGGTATAAAAATTCTAATTCGCTGACATGCTTTTTATAACGTTGTACAGTTTAGTAATTATAAATAATAATAAATTTCGTTTCTAATTGTATAGTTTTCATAGCAGTAACGAATTTTGTAGCGATATGCCATTTAATGGTTACAAATTATTTCTGTTTTATGTTTTTAGTAACAATAGAGGTTATTTTCTGTGGCTATCCAATTATTATGTCCAAACAAGCCCTAAAATTAAAACTATGTCTAGAACAAAAAACGTTTCACATTATTATCAACAAATAGTTTATTTTCACGTACACTGCGAGAACGTGATTGTTATTTGTTAAACTAAGATTATGTAATTTGTCTCCTCTGGAGCAACTGACTTTAAATCCCGGGACGATAAACACTACTGCTGCGCTCCTATGCCATGTCAGAGAGAAACAACGTTTCAAGAAAGTTAACCTAATGAAGCGAACACTTTTTAATACACGCCGGTTTAAAATCCCCAAAAATAACATTACAAAGTAATATTAATTATGTAACATTTATTTTAAAATTGAAGTAGTTTAAAAATTACTTTACAGCTACAATTAAATTAAAAGAGATATATTTATCCAAAAAAATTGATCTAGTTCCTTTAGATATAAATTTCCATATTTATTGAAAAATAAGAATTTTGGATTAATATTTTCTTCCGAGTGTTCATAGAACAGACATCACGGGATGAATAAAGAATGTTGAGGTAAGAAAAAATAAAATAATTTTTTCTGAATGTATACCTGTTGGCCCTTTTCGCTCTTCAATAAAATTGTGGCGACTCCGTTTCGTTTCTCTCCCTCTCTCTCTCTCTTTGGTGGCAAATCTGTCGGCTAAAATCACTAGAAAACATCGTTTCTTATTGGATATCGTTGGACTATTGGAATGCGACGCTAGCGCCAGACACCGGATCGTGGATGAGAATCTTGCGATACACACCGGCGGAGGGGAGGGAGAGGCAGAGAGAAGTCAGATTTTGATTGTTCCGGCGGCGTGGACGGTGGATGTTGCGTTTATTTCGTCTGGCATGAAAGCTGTGTGAGACCGATTGTCACGAACGTCAAGTCGCGAGGATAACGCAGCGAACATGTTGGTGCTATTCGAGACGTCGGCGGGTTTCGCGATATTCAAGGTAAGTCGCGAGTTTGCCGGAAGCTGCTGGCCTCCTAACCTGAGCGATCGCGCACGTGTCGCACCTCGTTCACCCCTCGGGAGTATCGCGCGCGAGGTTATCCGACGGCAATTATTTCTAACGCACGATTTAAATTCGCTTGCAGGTGCTGGACGAGAACAGAATCGTCCAGTCGGATGATCTTTTCAAGGACTTTGAGACCCCCGAAGCCGCCAGTAGATTGTAAGTTTGTCTCTCGGCAAGCCAATAGATTCTGCTCTTTTCAGCTGAACTTTTCCTTACAGCTCGCCTTTCCTCTTCTCCTCTGCACGTTAGAGAAAAATACAGAACAGCCGAACGGTGCAAAAAGTTGAGTTGAAAAGGACATTTATTTAATGTTCTCACATATCTTTCGCTTTGCAGAATTAAGCTGAAGTACTTTCACAAGTTCGAGGACACGAACGAGGCGCTGGCCGCCACTAGGGCGCTCGCGGAGGGCAAGCTGTCCAAGTCCCTGAAGAAAACGCTGAAGAGCAGCTGCACCGAGGCGCGCGAGCAGCTGGCGGTCGCCGATGCCAGGCTCGGCAGCGCCATCCGGGACAAGCTGCAGCTGTCCTGCATAAGCAACACGGCGGTGCAGGAGCTGATGAGATGCATCAGAAGCCAGATGGACAGTCTGATCAGCGACGTCACCAAGGGCGAGATGGGACGCATGACGCTGGGCCTGGCGCACAGTTACTCCCGGTACAAGATGAAGTTCTCGCCCGACAAGATCGACACCATGGTGATACAGGCGGTGTGCCTGCTGGACGATCTCGACAAGGAGATCAACAACTACATAATGCGGGCGCGCGAGTGGTACGGCTGGCACTTCCCCGAGCTCGGCAAGATCGTGTCCGACAATATTCAGTACATACGAACGATGCTGATAATCGGCCAGCGGGAGAACGCCGTCAAGTGCGATCTGTCCGACATTCTCACGGAGGACGTCGAGGAGAGGGTGAAGGAGGCCGCGGAGACGTCGATGGGCTCGGAGGTCTCGGAGTACGACGCCGAGCACATGCAGGGCCTGTGCATCCAGGTGATCGAGCTCAGCCAGTATCGGACCCATCTGTGCGCCTACCTGCAGGCCCGGATGATGGCGGTGGCGCCCAACCTGACGGTCCTCGTCGGCGATCTGATCGCCGCGCGTCTGATATCCAAGGCCGGCTCGATGACCAATCTCGCCAAGCACCCGGCGTCCACTCTGCAGATCCTCGGCGCGGAGAAGGCGCTGTTCCGTGCGCTCAAAACGAAGAAGAACACGCCCAAGTACGGCTTGATCTACCACTCGCAGCTCGTCGGACAGTCCTCGAATAAGAACAAGGGCAAGATGTCCAGGATGCTGGCGGCGAAAGCCGCTCTGGCGACGAGGTTCGACGCGCTGGGGGATTCCTCGAGCACGAACCACGACCTCGGCACGGAGCACAGAGTGAAGCTCGAGGCGCGACTGAAGCTGCTCGAGGCGGGGAATGTGCGCCGGATAAGCGGCACCGCCAGGGCGAAAGCCAAATTCGAGAAGTATCACAGCAAGAACGAATATATGCAGTACTCTGCATCCGTGGACTCGACACTGCCGCTTCAGAAGAGGCCGTTAATCGAGGAGATCGAAACGAAAGAGGAGGAAGTTCCTAAGAAGAAAAAGAAACATAGCACGAACCACGAACTAGCTACAATCAAGGAGGAGGAAGCGGGAGAGCCGGCTGCTGTGCCGAAGAGAAAGAAGAAACATAGTCTAGACGCCACTGAACAGGGAGAATCTTCCGGTGCACAGGTGGACACGGAAGCAGTCATTCCGAAGAAAAAGAAGAAACACAGCATAGAAATCAAGACAGAAGACGCAGCGGAAGCTGGTCCTTCTCGGGTGCAAGTTAAAACGGAGATTAAAACGGAGCTGGATGTTGAACCGAAGAAAAAGAAGAAACACAGCGTGGAACCAGAAAATACGGAGGAGCTAAATATCTCGTTGAAAAAGAAGAAGAAACATCTCGTAGAGCCTAAAACAGAAGATATGGGGGAGGCCTCTGGCATGCAAGAAGCGCAAGCTGAAGCAGATTCGGATCAAGTATCGAAGAAAAAGAAGAAGAAGAAAAAGGAATCAGTTGAAATTGAGGCGGTATCTGTGAAAGTTGAGGAAACGTTTGAGGCGGATGTTTCAGAATCTGGAACGAGTGAAGGTAACTATAAAAATGTAACGAGAAAAATAAACATGAAAAATTTGATGGGACAAAGGATCGAATAACGGTTGAACCACCAGTATTTTTATATTTTACCATTAAATCATAATTCAACTAAAAAACAATTTAAAAACAAAGTTGTAAAAAAAATTTAAACTAGATGTTTTATGACGTAGAATTTTTTTTAGGAGAATAGAGGATATTTAAAAGTTTTTGAATCTCTTTGTTATAAGATACCTGAAGATCGTTTTTAAGTAGATTTTTATAATTTCAAATCTGTAATTATACAAGTGTATTCTGATTAATAAAATTCTCAATCACTGCTTGTATGACTAAGCAGATTTTTATTCTGCTTTATCGGATAATTTTGTAATAATACGTCCGAGTAAGAGCTTATAATAGAATTTCTATTTGCAGAGCAAAAGAAGAAAAAGAAGAAGAAAAAGGACAAGGAGAGCGAGGAGACGCAACAAATGTCAGTGTCCACTGAAGAGGTGGAGGAACCAGTTTCGAGCGAGAAAAAGAAGAAGAAAAAGAAATCAAAGCAAGATTAGACTTGTATAGGATGCGCAAAAAGAGATAGGATAAAATATAAGTTTCTTATTAAACTTCTACGTAAATATAAATAGATATAAATAATATTTTTTTTAATTAAATACGAAAGACAAATGGCTACAGTAAGCAAGCTAGATAAATCTGAGGTTTATTATTGAAGTATTTTTTTCCTCAGAATTTTGTTTTAATTAAAAATTAAAATCGTTTGATAATGTTGCGAATGAGATACTTTTAAACAAGAAGATGGCTTTACCGGAGTATCGATTATTATTATATATTAAAGGATTCGATGTGTAAAATATATTGTATAGTTTTCGTAAATAAATTTATCCATGATTTACTTTTTTAGAAAATTCAAGAGATTTCCCAGGTACCAGTTTTTGTAATGCACGCAAAATATTCCTAAAGTCAATAAGAAATTAGTCGGTTTTTTACTTTATTCTACTTGCAGAGAGATTATATTAATTTTTATACAAGGTATAGTAGTTAAAACCGTAACATTTTTATAACAGAATCACTTTATTTAACCCATAATACGCGAATACATTTGTTAAAGTTTACTAAATATTTTATTCTAACACTGATTCATTTGACTTGCAGGCAGTACATAATAGCCGAATTTTCGAAAGTATAATTAAGTTTGCATAAAGTATATATATATATATTAATAATTTGTCACGAATGTATATCTTTCCAAAGAAATATAAACTACAATTAATATTGTACAAATATAATAATATACGATAAGATTCGCTTGATTTTGTCGTCATATTTTGTCGTTATATCTTGTCGTTCATGATAGATACAAAACTGAGCTGTTAAATATCTTAATTACAGTACGCATCTCCTTTGCAAAAATGAGACATTTCATAATTATCGTAAATAGCAGGATGCAGGTATTTGGATGGATTATTTTAATAGCGACGACTTGCAAAAATAATAGAGTTAAGATACGATAAAAGATCTGGTATAAAACCATTGCACGCAATTAAGACCGTAAATCGATAGCCGATTACATATTGGATATTAGCGCATGACTTGCCGAAAGTAAATATATCATTATATATGTATATTTTTATACATTCATATAAGTATCAATATTTTTTTTTTTAATCTTGATGTATGTGTGACAGCAGATATTGCATCTACAATAGTACATCATAGATTTAATGATTAAATCATTAAAGTTAATTTCCACGTTTATAGACCTCCACAATGCATACTTTCTAGACTTTTAAACATTTTTTGTCCAGAGAGTATATATTTTTCAAAAAAGAAACTCAAAACACTATATATTTGTCAAAAACATTTAAATTATTCACGCACGTTGAGAGCATAAACGATATCATTTCTATAAACACATATCAGCACAATAAATGGTTATTAATTTATAGTATAGAAGCAGTATTATATGCATGTAAGCGAAAAAATTTTATTTTTACTTATTTTACTTTTAAAATTTGCTCGTTTTGGAAAAATAGAAATGTTATTTTTATAAAAATGTTATATGTACATTTATATTTATAAAGAAAATGCCAGTGTCGAGCGAAAAAGTTAACGAGTATTGACTAAATTTGACTAGCAGACTTTGATCTATACACATCATTTGTCGTCTCATCTCCTTTTTTTTTTGTCTTATTTTAATATGCAACAGAAGACAGCAATGACATTTTTACTTTCTAAATAACGACTTATGATTTCAATATCTTACATAATTTGTTTCTATCTTGATAGTATTTTCTTTCGTTACATCTAATAGAACTGATATCGTTTACAGTCGTATATGCATGTGCATATCTTTTTGAATTCCACTGTGGAAAACGAAATATTTCTTCATTTCAATTCAATTACACATCACGAATTATCGAACGATGTTGCATAGAAACTGCGAGAAAACACACTCCCTATCTGTAGACAGCTTATATTGTAAGAAACTCGCATCCTCGGCGCATGTAGGATCGTAACGCGCTGCGATTTGCATTCCCCCTTCTTTTTTTTTTCACTTCCGGTGTGAACGTCTTCCTCGTTAAATCGCCGCAACAAAGTGAATCGGGCAAAAGCGTCGTAGGCGGGTACGCATTTTGTCGATACAGTATAGCGATTGTATAAAAATATTTTATACATATTACTAAAGCGTAAACGTAATGCTACACGACGATCGTCGGTTATTCGGCGGACGATTCGTAGTAAACGAAATACTCACCGCTCGCTCACTCTGAGAATTACGTCTTGGTTCTTCGATATAGCTTTTCTTCTATTTCAGTTTCCTATTTTTTTTTCTTCTTTATTACACACTCGTGTACTCTCGAAACGTACGATATATCGCAAAAAATAGATTACGCATATATGCGTACACGATTGCGCGAACTACACGTAGATTCTTTTTTTTTTTTTCTTGACTGTATAAACTTTCCCTCCGTCAATTCTCAATCTCTTTCACCCCTCTCGAATAACATTACGCAGAAGTGTATCAATATGCGATATATTAAATATATTCTTCTATTCATATACGCTTCTCGTTATAATATAAATTCGGGGATTCGCGTAAGTCATGTGTTTTCAACTTAAATTTGTACAAATTGGCGGGCGTAAATTACAAATTACAATAGCATTAGTGACCGTGCGAGAATGCGACGGAAAAGGGGGTTCCGTGTATGCGTGTAGAAAGCAGATCTCCCTTTTTAACAGTGACTAATAGAGCACATTGGGACAACAGCAATGTCAAACGGTAGCAAAGGTATGAGACGGCCTTCCTAGAATTTCGCAGACTTCATTCTTTTCTCTTTCAGAGTCTGACCAGAGTCCGCGAGTATCTTCTAAGTGGGCATTCGTTTCGCAAAGTTGCAGAAATACAGCGATCAACTACACTCTCGAAGGGAGAGACAATACAAATTTATGCGATTATTAAATTTATGAAATGCATCGCTATGAATCGCATTGTAATGGATCGCTATGAACTCCCGATCGAAGTTGCAAGATGTGAATCGTATGTGCTCCGACATCGTACCGATCGCGTACGATGCAAAATAGAATAGAAAAAAAAAAACGCAAGTGCGTTGCACAGAGTGTCCTAGAGCTTGGATTTTAATTAACCGATCCAGGGCAAATCTCAGAATAAATTTCTCTTGAGAAAATTATTGCTGACTGCGCTCGACTATCCTGTTAATTAAAAAACAAAATATTTGAATATTCGAGTGATAATGAATAATAAGGCTTAGAAGAATAATAAGAAAATATATTATTAATTATCTCAAAATTCAAAGGATTACTTAAAAAAAAAAAAAAAAAAAATTCTGCGTCAGATTTGCCGCGAATTTGTCAGCTGGCGATTTCCGGGATACTCTGTGCAAATTATTTATAAGTCTGTAGTGTAGCGATGTATATAAAAATAAGTGTATACAAAGTGCATAAAAAATATAGAGCGTCTCGCAGCGATCGCCTCCGGCACGTATATACTTTTTCTCTCTTTCCTCGTGAAGAAATCTCGTGGAGAATAGCAACGAGTATTGCACACAAATACTCAACGTATCGCAGACCGTGAGAAAAATCCGCGGACTTATCCTATACGTTGGGAGCGTCACATAGTCCTTATCTTTATACAATTCTCTAAGAATGTTTCTTCTAGTATCTCTTGCGCAATTATACATATATATGTTTCTATAAGTGTTACATATATACTATATATATAAATATACATATATATATATATGTATATATATAATTTTTTTAGAATACTCTACGATATTGTATTTATGATGATAGATATACGTGTGTATGCATATGTACAAAATACATAATAAAAGACGTTTCGCGAGGCTCTGCCACGACGGACTGGGACACGCAGTCCGAGACACTTATTTACCGGATACTCGTGAACAGATTCAGCACGGACTTGTTCTCTTTCTGACTGCGCGCCTTACTGAACACGTTCCAGAAGCGTAGAGTCTCGTCGCCCGCGCCGGTGACGATCGCCTCGCCGTCGGGCGACATCGCCAGGTAGAGCACGCGATACGAGTGGCCGGTGAGCTTGGCCACCTGCGTGAGGCTCGGGTACTTCCACACGAGTATCTGATTCTGCGAGTAGCCGTGCGTGCTGACCAGCTCGGAGCTGTGCTTGCTCCACGCGAGATTGCAGACCTGCGAGCCGGTGTCGACGCACTGCATCGGCTGGCCGGTCAGCGTGTTCCAGAAGCGGATGCAACGGTCGGCGGTGCCGCCGCCGGACGCCAGCAGGCCGTGATGATGGGGCGACCAGGCGATCGCCTTCACCGCCGCCAGGTGCTCGGTGTACGTCTGGATGGGCGAGAGGGAGTGCAGGTTCCACACGTAGAGCCGATTGTCGTTGCCGCCGGAGGCGAGGTACTGGTTGTCCGGTGACCACTTGAGGCCGCACACCTCCTGCCGATGGGCTCCGAGCCGTCGCTCGCCGACGACGCACGGCGTTCTCACGTCCCTCTGCAGTATCAGTCGGTCCCTGCTGCCCGACGAGAGAACCTCCCCGTTCCAGGCCAGGGCGCCCACTCGGGCGCTGTGGCCCTGGAGCTTGCTCACCTGCTTGTTCACCGCCACGTCCCACACCTGTATGTAGCCCATGTGCGTGCCCACCGCCACCAGATTGCCGCGCTCGTTCCAGGCGACGGAGGTCACGCTGTTGCCGTCGTTGGACAGGTCGCAGAGCCGCGTCACCTGGCTGGTGCACGCCGACCACAGGTAGACGCAGCTACCCAGGCCGACGCTGAGTACGTTCTGGGAGGACCAGTCGACCAGGTTCAGGTAGAAGTCGTCCTGCAGCTCCGGCGCGTCCAGCACCTTGAAGGGTATCCTCGAGATCTTCCGGGTCGCCTTCCTCGGGGACCTGAGCAGCTTCTGACTCTTGGCGCTCAGCGGCGACAGGGAGTACGGCGAGCTCTGGTCCAGCAGCGTTCGGTCCTTCGTGGGTGTGGTGTACTTGAAGAGGTTCTTGGTGACCAACGGCGAGAGAACCCTGCGCTCCTCGCACTGGCCCTTCACGTCCTCGATGCTCGCGCCGAGCAGCTCGTTCTTCAGCAGGCAGGAGTACGCGATGCCGTCGCGGCTGCCCTCGCCATTCTCCCGCGTCTTCTTCGCCACCAGACCGCCCCGGCTGTTCTCGCTGATCATGGAGAACGTGGTCTGCCAGTTGTTACCCGAGCGGGTGGGTATGAAGCGGTCGTAGCTGTTGTTGTACGCCGACGTCTTCGTGGGCGAGAAGTAGATGGGCGAATAAGCGGCGTTGGCGGCGGCGGCGGCGGCGGCGGCGGCGGCGGCGGTGGCGACGGCACCGGGCAACGCCGCCGCCGTGCCCGCCGTCGTGGCCGTCGTGGCCACGTCGCCGCTCAGCACCGGCTTCAGCAGCCGTTTCTCGTACTCGTGGTGGAACATGACGCGACGCCGAGGTCGGATTCGGTCCCACCTTCGTCGCACCAATAAAGGAGAGGCCAGAGTTCCCCGCTCACATAATTAACCGCAATCCCGCGGACGCGCCTCTCCTCTCGCGTGCACACCGCCCGTGTGAGAGGCCGTGTGGAAGCGCCGCGCTCGTCGACAACCACGCGATCGATCCCGGAACACGTCACGAGTTCATTCCCGGCCTCAGGATGCTCAGCCGCTTCCGCGCGCTCCGCGTTCAGCTTTACGTGACGGTCTGCGAGGCACCGAACTCCGAAGTCCGAGGCTTTTAAACCACACCACCGTCCGTCCGTGCTAACAGCCGTGCCGTCGCCATTCGACGTTCAGGTTCAACTCGCATTGAAACGATCGAGAATCGTGGGCCCCGCATGAGGGGGGGGGGTCGAGCGATCGTTCCGTATTGCGCCAATAGAAACGTGTCTTCGGGACATGGCAATTGGCAGTGCACGGCCAGCACGGCAGGCAAGCTGCATGTCACTAGGGGAGGGAAGGTCGCGATTCCATCCTATCGACCGTTTTATCTTTTATTGATTTTAAGTACTTCGTACAGTACCTGTGAATAATGATAAAATATTATGCACACAATATAACTATACGTTTTTATATCCTATGTTATTTTATACAATATATATTTCATACTAAATGTTATGCATTATTATTAATAATATGTAAAACAATTGAGATTACTGTCATTTCGTTGCGTGAAATTTGCACAACATACTATATATACACTAATTATTTCATTTTCGTTATCATTTTTGCCGAGAATTTTGGAAAATTCGTAAAGTTTCGTGATAAAAATCCTAATCGGTTTGTTCCTAAGAATTAGATTGGGTGCGTTCCATTTAACGCTCGCAACGTTCTTGAAATAATTTCATCTTTGTTGTTTGTCAAATATTAAACAAGGACAAGTAATGTTTGCGAGCGTTGCGAGCGTTAAATGGAACGCAGCTATTGTATAGTTTAACTCCTTTGCAGTTATTTAGCAATCATACATTTTGTGCTTTTAAATTTATTTATATATATTTAGCAGTTATAATAATTTATAATCAAAAGATGATTTTATACCGTCACAAATGTCCTGTATATTTAATAACTTTTCCCACAAAAATTATAATTAAATCTCGTTTATCTGAAAAATATTGCATTAAGGCAGAAACAAATCTACTATAATTAATAATTTTTATCTAACTTTCTCATAAAGAAAACATTTCAAGATAGACTTTTGAGTCAACGGTTTTCTTTAAACTTTCTTTATCTTTTCTTTGCATTGTTCCATATTCCACTTTCGAAACGCACGTCCGTTCTATTTAAAACCCGACGAATCTCGTCAGGTCGGAAAGATAAAGATTTATACCTATTTTGTCAGCAAAATAACGGACAAAATTATCGATATTCTCAACCCCCCCCCCCCCCCCTCGATAAGATAGAGGAAAGAATTTAAAGACTTTTTGGACCGTTAGAGAGATATATATATATACGTCATTTCGTTTCTTCACCTTGAATTACTTGAATATCGCGATTCACATGCCAACCAGCGCAACCGCGCATGCACGGCGCTGCAGAAAGAATCTGCAGTGAGCTGGAAAAGGCGTCAGGCGAAGGGCCTCGATCCTAAACGAACCTAAAAGGGTCGATCGGTAAAATGGCATTTTCGAATGCAAAAAGCGGCACGCCGTGGTGAGCCCGTCCCGCTCGAGCGTCGGCGGCGCCCAAATGGGATCGCGAACAGCCATGCTTTGCCGTTCGTTTCACAACGCCGTGCGTTTCGAATGAGTCATCAACTGGCCGGCGGCGGCGAGCGGAGAGCGAGGGGAGTAAGGCTGCTCGGCGCGCTGTCGAGAGTCGTCAGGGCGCGAGGCGGAACCAGGGGCTTTGTTTATCGTAAGATACGACCGACGATGGCGTCAGAAAGGGAGGACGACATCGGGGAACTGAGCGACATTATTCTGCAGGAGAGTTCGGACGCCGAGACGTTGCAGGTAAGACCAAGTGGCCGCGTCCCCTCGGCTCGCCGCAGGTCACCGGGACACGCGTGCGTTTCGTGCCGCTTAACCTTCTCGGTTAGGCAGTTTTCACTGTTTTCAGTACCTTAGATTGTTTTTTTTTTTTTTTAAGAGAGCCCGAGATATAAATTCACTTACACAAATGGATCCCCGCTGTAAACCCGGAAGTTTTTCTACAGAAAATATATTTACTTTTTGTAGGAAAATATGTGGCACTATCGACTCAAAACAAAATATTTGTTTATAGAATTCTTTATCTTGTTGTCTTCTGTTGATTCTGTACGAACTACTGGATGAAAATTTTTCCTTTAGTAAAACTTCAGGTTTACTGTGTAATTAAAGTATTATAAAAAGTATTTTAATATCGGTTTTGGAGAAATAATTATTTATATATTTGGAATTAAAAAATTCTTAAGATGAGCGAAGACTTATACTTTTTTATTCGTGTTTTTCTTTGGTTTTTTAAATTTCGTTAATGTTTAAATTATTAACAAATATTAATCATTGAGATCTTTTGGAAATATATTCTACCGTTAATCTTTTTCTATAAAAACTTTGTAAAAGTTGTATAATTCTTAAAAATTTAATACAGCTTAAATTTAATAAATTTTGTTGTCCAGTGCAAACGCAAGTTGAGCAGGAAACCAAAGAGAGTGCTGCAGTTTTCGGATGGAGTAATGGAGGAATACTCATCGGAAGATGAAGTTGACGCCCCAAAGAATAGTAAAATTATGTCGCAGATAGATACCGTAATTACACATATAAATTACATAATATACAGCTTGATTATAAGTATAAAGATTCTATAAAGCAGTTCTAAATGAACATAAACATTCTATATCTAATGAGAAATAAGATTAAAAAAGATTTTAGTAAAAAAATATTTATTAATATTTTATACAATTTTAATATTTTATTAGGCTTTTTTTGGCTTTTATTACTGCTTTTTTCAAGAAAATGCAATAAATTGAATGTTTTATACTTATGACCAAGGCTATATCTAATATAACTTTATTATATATATTCAATAAAATATAAAATAATGATATTATTTTGTAGAAAAATATGAATTGGTTACCATGGGCGTGGTACCAAACCACATTGCTGAGTTCAAAAATGTTGGACGGCTGTGACTACGTTGGCGAATGCCTGGCCAATTTCTTCGGCATAACGGCGCCCAAGTATCAGTTCGAGATCAACGAGTTTTATAGACTGCAGGCGCTCGAGAGAGAAATGCTACACAAGCAAGATTTGGAGATGGGCGGATGGAACGAACAAAAGAAGAACAATCTCATAAATAAGGATGCTACACTGACAAGCGAATGTAAGTAGCTGACGTTAAGTGAGGGAGGTTGATACTGAGGAAAACATGTTAAATGTGTTACGAATTCTCTATTTTGAATGCATTTGAAGTATTGCCTACACATAGCTTTAATTGACAGAGATTTAAACGCTCAATTCTAAATTTATTAGCAAACCTGCGTTAGGAGGTAATGCTTGAAGAAAAATTTTCAACGAATATTTTTCTATGCAATATTAAAGCTTTTTGAATGATATAAAGTAATGAATGTAATTGTTAAACAAGAAAGCATGTGACACAAAGAAAAATATGATATTGAAAAGATACAAGCATTTAAATGGAACAAAACTCGCTGCCTTCATGTTAGTTGAGAACAACGTTCGTATGCATAAGAATTGTATATAAAAAGTTTTAGTATTATTTCTCGTAATAATTAATTAATCGTTACAATATATCGATATAATTTATTGTGTATGAACTATTATATATTACTTATAAGCTATTTTTATTATATTTATACTAAATCTGTTAGCAATATAAAAAATATGTTACCTCATTGTGAAAGATAATTTTTTTTTTTGAGTTCTGCATTTGCACGTACGTCCGTATAAAAATAAATAATACATTTGAATATGACTTGCTTTTAATTTATATCAGCCGTGACTCTTGCGGAATTATTATGCGATTAACGACAATAAATGTGCAATAAATTGATAAATGCCTTTTTTGTATTTAATAAAAGAAACATTCTTTTTATATCCAAAATTTCTTAGCTTAAATTATATTCCCTCGGTGAAGTGTTTCTTTAAAAGCATCTTCGTAAATTTACGGATATTAAGAAACAATATAGCGTAGCAAACGTACGATATAGTAATCAGCGTGTATCTAATATGTAAAATGATAAAAGTACATATTGCTCTCTCGATAGTTTCTTTTCTTCGAATACATCTTGAAATCCTGCACGTATTACGTGTCTCATTCATCGCCGCGTGTATATTTGCACATTGCAGTCTTTTGTCGAGTTAAAATCCTCGAACAACGCGTGAAAAAGTTCAACAGATGCCCTGTAAAAGTCTTTTAGACATTTGCATTTTTGTAGATCGCTCGGTGACCAGCTGAAAGTCTTTTACGCTTGAAAAAAAAAAAAATTTCTTTTTATGTCTCCGGCACAAACCTATGCAGCGCGCTGGTCAAAACTAGCAACGAGTCCTGGAGACCCTGCGGAAACTGTCTTTGCAGCCAGGAGCCCTTGTACTGCTCTATATGTGCCAACATCTTGTTCGCCACGTCGGTCCTGAAAGTCGGCGGCAGATTACACACTCCCAGATTGATAACCGCGAGGCCCATATTGCTGTTCGGATTCACACCGACGCCAATCAGCGTTCTGCCGATTTTACAGGCCGTCAGCATCAGATCGGACGTCAGTTGCAATTCCTGTATCTCCATCGACGCGAACTTGGAGGACAGGCTCGCCTCGTACATGGAATGGGATATTCGTTTGATCTGCTTCGTCACCTTCTACGAACGCGTAACGGCAAATTAGTAATGCCCTCAGGCATCTTATCTTGCTTCGTCCTTGGAATAGCAAGAAAGCCTTTCAGCAAGAGAAACATATCGACACGGAAGTCATTCTGTCCTCGATCGCTATTCAACAAAAGACGAGAAAACAGAATGACTGCTTCGTCTGTATGTTTCTCTTGCTGAAAAGTTTCTTAAGATATATTTCAGATATTCGAGCAAACGAGTGTACTTACAGCGAACAGATCGGCCGAGAGATACTCCAGATTCACATTATCCGGATCGGTCAGTAATCGATATAACGTGGAGCCGCGATTATCCGGTATCTGCTGCAAGTCTTTGACCGCTTGATTCTTACTCAATGTTAACACCAGTGTGTCTAAACGTCCCAACTCCAGCAGCGCGTTGCCGATTTTGTATTCCGAATCTTGAAACACGTGTATATCCAGTAATTTCGTGATGCACCTTTCTCTGCAAAATGAAACGATTTTATTGAACATAATGTAAATGCGCGTAAATATATTATTACGTATCGTCGATTGCAAATTTTGTGACAACGTTGTTACCTGACTGACGCGGACAACTCGGGGATGTCGTAATTCTCGTCGGATCCTAAATCTATTTCCGTGGTCGGGTTCCAAGCTAAACCAGCCGCCACCAAGTAGCCGATCCACGCGAAAGGATGCGGCGTGAGATGATGACTGCCCGACCAGTGCGCGACAACGACACCGATCGAGTTCTGCTCCAGAGACGTCTTTATCGCGTTTCTCGTGTTGGCGTACGTCGACGCCGGACATCCGGCCAGGCTGTTGTAACTGGCTGTGCCGGAGCTTGGTAAAACATTGCCGCCCGCCAGTCTGAACGGCTCCGTCCAATCGGAGAAATCGTAATCAGCCTGCAATCATCCGGATATATATATATATATATATATATAGTAAACGTCGTGAATTTTACTTAAATAATTGTCCCCGTTAAAAATTTGGGGAAAGAAATTCAGCTGTTACCTGAAATCCGTATTCAACAAGCACGATGTTAGTGGGAATATTGTGAAACTCGGATTTGGAGTGCAAACTGTTGGAACATAAAAGCAGAGTCGTGCTCGAGCTCAAATTGAGAATATGCCAGAGTTCCTGAAGGCACGAGTAAGACTTGAATACTTCCGACATGTCCGTTTCGAGCGTGTCGTTGACGGATACGCTCAAGTCGAAGCTGTCGGCCTGCACTAGCAAGGTGGTTAACCGCGGGCCTACGTGAACGTAATTTAAGCTAGGGAATACTGCGAGCAAGTCTTGAAAGATAGGCCACATTTGCATCAGGTGATGCTGGCTGACGTTAGAATCGACGTCCAACGTTGGAACTATGTCTAAATGGCGGTCTCTGGAAAAATATTAACACAATTTCCAAATATTACGTAACATAAAAATTTGATTTATTTTAATTTAAAAGATAATAAATAAATAGGTAAAAAGATCGCTAAAAATAAATTAATTAAGACAATGAAAGGAATGATGATGTAAATATAAAATTCATTTAAAAATCTCAAATCTCTCTCATTCGAAAATAATCTCTGGAAAAATATTAATACAATTTCCAAATATTACATAACATAAAAATTTGATTTATTTTAATTTAAAAGATAATAAATAAATAGGTAAAAAGATCGCTACACAGTTAAAAACAAATTAATTAAGACAATGAAAGGAATGATGATGTAAATATAAAATTCATTTAAAAATCTCAAATCTCTCTCATTTGAAAATAATCTCTCAAAAAATATTAACACAATTTCTAAATACTACATAATATAAACATTTTATTTATCTTCATTTAAAAGGTAATAAATAAATAGATAAAGGTCGCTACACAGTTAAAAACAAATTAATTAAGACAATGAAAGGAATGATGATAAAAATACAAAAAAATACAAAGTTTATTTAAAAAATCTCAAATCTCTTATTTGAAAATAATAGATTCTTAGAAATGAAAAAATCATAAATGTGTAAATTGTACCTGCAATATCTGTCCAGAGTCACCATCTCGGACTTGGAGTAGCACAGCTGCCAGTCGCAATTTTGCACAAGTCTAGAGTAGAGGTGTAAATGCGAGATCTTGAACGACGAGAGTAGATCGATAATGTGTAAAAGGTATTCCAGAGTCGGCACGCGTCCTCTGGGCGAAATGTCCAACAGTATACCGCGATGCGCGAATCTCGGCTCGTCCTTGATGAAGACTGGCTCGATCTCGCACACCTCCGACCTACTCTGACTCTTACTCAGACGCAGAATCTGCACGAACGTGCAGACCGCGTAATGCAGCCCCGCTAGACTTCCGGCGCTCACTTTGATGGAGTTATGCGTGATGTGCAATTGATAGCTATCCGCGATGTTAAATAGATTCCTATTCACGATGCATTCAATCGTATTGTCGTTGAGCATCTTGCCGCAACTGGGCTGCACCTCGCCGATCTTTACGTCGTGACCCAGTTCCAGCAGATGGGTCCTGCTGATCTCCCACACGTCTAATATTTTATGTACAGATTCACTGCCCTGGGGAATAAATTTATGAGCGCAATGAGAAATCACATAAAATCGAGAAAATTCTCTATTTACAGAACAAAGATTTAAAAGATTTTCCGAACGTTCGATGTCCATTTCTACCGGTGTAAAAATTAATTTTAATTTACTCTTTAACTAAAAATATAAAAATTGAGTTAAATCGAGATTAAAGTTAATCTACATTGGTAAACTATAAAGAAGCTTGCGTCAATTGAAAAGAAAAAAAAATCATGAAATTGTGAACGCTGAGATGTATATTTACGTACTCAGTTTAATTTACTCTTTAACTATTTCTAATTTTTAAGACTAGAAAAAGATAAAAAGAGCAAATTAAACTGAGACTAAAAAATTAATTTACATTGATAGAAATGGGCATGAAAAGATGTATCGATGTGGACCTAAATATTACCTGTATTATTGATATAAAAAGCTCCTTTCCGGCGATAAACGGGGCCGTGAAATTTTTTAGCTCGTTCACAGTCTTCGGCTGTGGCCACAGCAAGTTGTAGATACTTCCTTTGTCGATGATAGACTTGCTAGGACTCTCCTTGCCCGCATCGCGCGAAGGCACATCGTACGCCGGATCCGAGGACTTGTTCGATTCGACCGACAGCTGGCTCATATTGCACGTGAGACCCTTCTGGCAATAGTTCGCGTCCGGGTACGACATAGCGGCGCTGTGCATCGTCTCGTTCTCGTTCAGCATAAAATTCGATATGAATCTTTGAAGGAAACAGTGTAGAGATTGCTTCTTTCTGGACAACTCGTACGGCGTTTTCCCCGCAAACGTTCTGAAAGGGTAAAAGCAACGTTGTCGTTTGAATGACGATGACGCTTGTATAGTCGTCAACTAAAGGGCCTATCCAGACAAACTTGCATAATCATATACATAAAGAAAATTATATCCAATCGCATTTTACGTTCGTTCTTGTAATAGAAATGCGATTGGATATAATTTTCTTTATGCATATGATTAAGCAGTTACGCAAGTTTGTCTGGATAGGCCCAAAAGGTCGCAACATTTTATATTTTGACGGGTTTTGGAATGCAGTTTTGCTCGTGGAGCGATTGAACGTAATTGGCTAGCTCCATTAGCAGGAACCAATCGCTCGGTGAACAGACTGCGTTCCGACAATGATAAAATAAAAAGTGTTGCAACGCCTTTCAGACGACGACTATACGCTGCGAGAATAAATATAGTACTCGTACTACGACTCGAATCGCTCACCCCTTGGTAGCCCGTACAAGAGGATTCGCACCGGCCTGCAGCAGCTCCTGACAGATAGCGATGTCGCCGCGATTCACTGCGTCGTGCAACGGCGTTGCGCCGCAACCATTCTCGGCATTCACATCGGCTCCTTTATCTGCATGAAAATTGCAACGTGAAATTCCATGTGAATGACGAAACGTGGTTACTACCAGGTGCCAACCATCTGTCTATTCATTACCAAGCAAACACGCGATAATGTCCTTGTTCCCGTAACATGCTGCCCAATGCAACGGCGTGTTCTTGCTGCCCTGCGAGTCCCACGAGTTAACGTCTAATCCTGCATCCAGCAGCTGTACTACTCTGTCTATTCTGTAAAAAGGATACGTGCCGATTGTTCCGTGACGCTAATAGGCTAATGTCCATTTCTATCAACGTACAGATTAACTTTAATCTCTCGCTTTAACTCTGCTCCTTATCTTTTTCTACTTCTTGGAACAGAATTTTTCGAAAAAAAATATAAAAATTGAGTTAACTCGAGATTAAAGTTAATCTACATTGGCAAACTATAAAAAAGCTTGCGTCAATTTAAAGGAGAAAAAAAAATCATGAAATTGTGAACGCTGAGATGTATATTTACGTACTCGGAAGCGGCCGTTGCCCTCAACATCTCCTCTATATAAATACGTCGTATTGCATCGTTCGAGGCAACATCCACCGCATTACGTCCGTCCGCGTTCGGCACGGCTGGATCGGCGCCGCAATTCAGAAGGGTTCTCACAATGTCCGCCTGATTGGTCTAAACGCGAAAGATGCAAATAGAAAAATGTAATAATACAAACAGAAAGATAAAGAGCTGCCTGGAGGAACGTTGCGCCTAACATTCCTTTTTCTTTTTATCACTGGATTTCATCACACGTTTAGCCATTTAGTCAACACACAAGCAACGTGTTTTTTTTTTTTATTAAACATGACTTAAAACATGACTTTTCATAAAACTGATGGCAGCAACGTTCTCCTGGGGAAAGCCCATCGAGCTCGGAAAGAAAGAAAATTGGAATCATGACGCCCCCCGGTAGAGGCATAACTGAAGAAGTACATCACGGACCTTCGAGGCGTACGACAGGAAAGTTCCTTCCTCCAAAACCGGTTGATTTAATATCTTGTCCCTCGTGATGCCCTCCGTGACGTTGCCGTTCTCACCTGCGGCAGAGGAAGGTCGACGGTGTAAAGAGCGAAAACAACGAAGGACGTTCTCTAATCCCAAAATACAAGGGAGGTTCGTGCGGAATTTGAAGTGGACGGGGGGAGAGAGAAAGGGATCGCCCTGAACTCCCCGCGTCACTTTCTCCCTCTCTCTCTCTCTCTAGGACTACGTACACGCGTCCAGAAGCGACCTGATAATGTCAGTACGTCCGTGTTCGATCGCCGTGCGAATGTTCTCGCAGACGCCTTGCATCGCTGATCCTTCGGATTCGGCCTGCAGCAGCTCGGGGTGGGACGGGTCAGGCCGGTGCGTCGCCGGGCGTCATCGGGCTGTCATCCCGCTGTCAGCTGTCAGACGGACTCGCGCCGGTCGTGTCGCCGATCTGCTCCCGCACGGCATGGCACACAACAGCGGCACACGACGCGCCCGCACCCCGCACGTACCAACACGCACCACACGGTGGTGCCACCACCTTCGCCGGCGGTGATCGGCGCACGCGCGTGCGCAGCACACAAATGCACGTTCATTCGTAAAGAAGTTTCTCAATAAAGTGAGAGAGCTCGGATGCCGTTGAACGTTAGAATTCTTTCGCCGAGAGTCACAAAACTTGACACTTATTATAGCGATAATAATATTTTCACATGTAAAGCATTGAATTAAATTTATTTTTTTTATTAATATAATGATTATAAATTCTGAATTGATTTGAACGTTTTTGAAAAGCGCGCTGAAAAATGCTAGTTGGCTTGAAAATGGCGAAGTTTGGTGGTCGAAACTTGAAAAACTTTCAACATCTTTGGACGCGTTGCTGTGGCTGCGAAAACATTTTCGTCAATTTAGCAGTTCGAGAGCGTGTCCGAACCGTGATTAGAAATCCCGCACTTATGAATTGAAAATTAGAAATTGTGTCCGCTAAAAAATTGTATTATTCCCTAGAAAAGGTGTCGCACTCGTCTCTCGTGGCGCGAAAAGAGCTAAAAAAAAGCAATTGGCGAGTGGAGTTCCCTAGGGAGGCACGCACAGCTGCTTCTCTCTCCCTGTTACTCGTCGCGGTGTCAACAATGAGCGTTCGTTCGTTTTCGCTCGCGTATGAATTCGCAAAAACTTAACTGTAACCTTCGCGCGTCTCGTCGCGTGTCATCCCGGTGCACGAAACGGGGCAGGAGGGAGTCCTCGCGAAGGTTCACGCGCCTCGGTGCACGCGAAAGGGATTTAAGAGGTCGAGGAGGTTGAATGCCCGAAGAGATCGTACTGAGAGTCACGTTGTTGACCCTCGGAATCGAGTAGGTCCAATTTAATTATGATAACCATGGAGTTGCTGTTCGGAGTACAAATAGATTCCGAGATGGTCATGCCGATCACGCTGAGCGGCGTGAATCTGAAGACGAAGGTGCAGGCGCTGAAGCAGGAGGCCGCGGAAAGGTGGAACCTGCCCAAGGATTCGTTTGGTAAAAAGTGACTTTGCGCTATTTGAAGAATCGGTCTCTGGTGACGCGGGACTCTTTTTATATTTTTAGCTAAAGAGTTCTTTGTCATTCGAGTTTAACGTCAGATTCTTTGGATTTGTTACGTCTGAGATGTGCACGCGTATTGGAAGTATTCGGACTGTCAAAATCCTTATTGAATTAAAGCCTTGTTTTTAATCTTCCTTGAGAAAAGATCAACTTTAATTTAAATCCAAGAACATACGATTAAAATGCAAGCCTCTTGAAATAATTCCTTGTAAATTAAACTTGGATAATCTTTGTTTTATGACAAACATGACATACTTAACATGATTGTGTTTTTTCCCCTTTAGAATTTATTTATTGCGGGCTTATACTCGAGGACGACGCAACAGTGGAGTCTGTCGGATTGAAGAATGGATCGATGGTGCATGCGTTGAAGAAGAAAGAACCGGAGTCGTCGATGATGAATAAGGACATATCAGAAGATTGCATATTACAGCTGGCATCGGCGTTTAAGTCTTTCAACGAGACCCCTGCGTTTAGAAGCGCTCTGCATGTAATTATCGTTTATAAATAATGTTACTTTTGTTATATGCCTCTAAATTGTATAATCAAATAGTAGAGATTCATTTTTATGTAATTAATATTAAGTCATCATTAAGAGAGGACTTACATAAACAAATGTTTTGATGTGTTTCAGCGTTTAAGCAAGAGGCCAGAGGTGATAGACAATATTATTTCTTCCTCTCCTGGATTGCACGAAGATGCGGTCGCCATTGCCATGTTGCAGGATCCCGATTTAATGGCGCACTTCATAGACGTCGACACTGTCAGAAGGTAATTACGATCCCCTAATTTGTACCACGGAAATATTATATGCACAAACGGCTTTGTCTCTCAAAGAAATACCACGGTTTTAAATAACATTTTTGTAGCTTGAACATGGATTGAAATTTTTTTTTTATTGTGCCGTGTATTTAGAATCGCGGAGCTGCATCCGGTGTTAATCGAGGCGGCGCAGAACATCGCGGCGGCCGTGCACGAGGAGGCGCACAACGCGGTCTCGAGCGGCTCGTCCAGCAGTTCGATGGCCAGCTCGCAGCCCACCACCGCGCGCTCCTACAGCGTGGACAGCATGAGCCTCGAGGAGGAGATGGCGCGCGACATCGCCCACTTTTTCGCCACGCAGCCCGTGAACGACAGCAATCTGCGCTTTCCCAACGCGACGCCGGCCGCGAATTCGCAGGCCGCGTCGCAGCGGCCGGACCACAATCCGCCGTCGTCCACGTCCGACGTTCACCACGGCGCCAATCAGCCCGCGACCGACAGTCAGCCGAGCACCGGCGTGATCACGTCGCAGATGTTCATGGAGGCGATGAGGCAGGCCGCGCTGGCGACCAATTCGAATCCGCAGCAGCCGGCCGCGTCGCCGGCGACCTCCCTGTCGCCGGTCCTACCGCTGTTCTCGCCACCGATCAACGATCTGCAGCGGCAGCTCGCGCAGATGCACGAGATGGGTCTGCAGGACGACACGATAAACGTACAGGCGCTGCAGTTTACCAACGGCGACGTGCAGGCGGCCATCGAGCTCGTGTTTAGTGGTTTCTATGATAATTAGTGGACAGACAGGTACGGACGGGACGAGGGTAACGCAATTACAGTTCGTACAAATGTCTTGGAAGGCAGTGTTTTCCAGATGAGGTGTCTGCCTGAGACATCCGCGGACATGTGTTCTCGATTTGTAACATAGGTACGTGTTGGTGCTGAGTCAGAGAATGTGTTCAAGATGTTTCGAAATTTACTTGTGAGGGGGACTCTTTTGTACGACTTTTTTTTGATACATTATTCACTGGTTATTAATAACACAGCAAGATCTGTGAAATTTCGTCTTTCAAGAACTCGTATAACTCGATTCGAATTATTATTCTAATTTATTTATTCTAATTCTTCAGAATGCGGTAGAGTCTGAAATACTTTGTTATTAAAATTATGCCGAAAATATATAAAGAAAATAGACACACATAATGTACATTAAGAAGAAATTGTATTTAATGAAAATGCTGCACTCGCTAAATGCTATGTATGAATTTTTATATCTCCGACAATTTATGTATATATATTTACTCGAGAGCGACATTGGCTTTTATTTCTTCCAACGTAACGTTTTTTGCGCCGTTAAGTACGAATAAGTACGAATGAACCAAGACATCCGGACACATATCACACATGCTCTGCACACAGTTATCTCCAAATTCTAATCAATACTGATACAATACTGGTTTGCGGAACTGTTATCTCTTTCGGTTTTTTTTTTCTACGCGCTTATATGTAGATAATTGGTTTTACATAGCATAACAAATTATGCAAAGTCATCAGAGGCTCAATCAAAGTTTAACATACCTACTTGAATAAAAATCAATGTAAATATACATGCGCATTTGTACATACATACATATATATATGTATATATATATATATATATATATATATATATATACATAAACTTTGATAAGATTTCTCTCTCTTTCTCTGTCTCTTTTGACGTTAACATCGTGGCATTTTTTTATTATCAATCGAAGTTTTTTATAGCATAGGTTTTATAGTACTGATTGTTGAACTTCATAGCATTGGTTTTACAGCATTGATTGTTGGGCTTGAACTGAAGTCAAGCAATTATCATATGTATATTTTGCTTCGCAGAATTGCAACCCAAGATTTAAAATTGTGATAGGAGCTTTTGTTCGGCACATGTGCGAGCCACGTGGAATGACGCTTCGATATGTAGATGTGTCGTCGCGGAATAAATGCGTCACGCGCGTGCCGGCAGTGATGTAGCACAGTTAACGCGAAATCGAATGCGTCGCCAAAACCCACGCGATCACTCGTAAGTGTCAACACATCTTTTTAAGTACCCAGTCATCGTTTGAGAATCTTTAGAGGTCTTAAGTGACGTTACAGATGACGTTAAATTAAGACTTATTTGATTATTCAGAGGAGATCTGCGAACAGTTGGGCCGAGAAATGTAATTCTGTTGTCGAGTTGTGTGACACTAGCACAATAGTTATCTACAATAATATTAAACAACAATTTCGCTTATCTCTGCAGGACGTGTGTAGAAAGATTACAAGCATATGAAATTAATGAGAAGTATATAAATATTTATTGAGGCGAATTTTATACAAATAAGGAATTATCAGAGAACTTATTTGAACGTATTTGGAGATAGCAATTATACACATAAGAATATTCTACGGTATGAGTTTCAAACAATTGACAATTCAAGACCTCCACCATGGAAAAACATTGCATTCATCATTTTTATGAAAAATGATGTTTTAATGGAAAAACGTGTCATTCATCAGCTAACATGTTTTTTTATTACCGGTAAAAGTTAAAAAATGTTGCACGCAACGTTTTCCCAAAGAGCCCTTCGGTTGCAACAATTTTTTTTTTAATTGAGACTTCTAATTAGTTTTCTTGTTCCAGTCGCATACATATATATACACGCAGCGTCTACCTAATTCTATATATAAATCGACGAAGGTATCCAGGTGTCGTAGGCCGTTACGGACTGCGGCTGATGAGCGAGTCACGTTACGTATTCCCAGGAGCTACGTACACGTTTCGCGCGAGGGGTGCGATGTCCGCGCGATACAATACTGTCACCGGCGAGCGACGGTGCGTTGGTGCGTGTGCCGGTCGACCGGTCCCCGCTCACGCATCGAAGGAAGAGGAGCGCGGCGCGAGCCGTGCGACGTGCGTGGCCGAGGTTCGAGGTAAAGGGGATTTCTGCAACGGTCCGGTCCGTCAGTAGGAATCGGCATTTCGCGTGGTTCGGACGTGCCGGGAGTCTCCCCCCACAGTGGTACGGCCGCGAGTGACACGAGCAGCACGTGCTCGCGACGTCTGCGGGCGTGCACGCGCACCCAACCCCCGTGTCTCGATTCTCGCGTATACACTGTATACAGCGGTGCACGCGCACCACCGAGACGCACACACGTGTTCGGTTCGCACACACACACTGTGGCCGACCCTGCCGGGTCGAGGAGGGTGACAGCGAAGGGATCGAGTCGCCGGCGAGAGGCTGTCAGTTTTGGCGTCCCGTCGTTCTCGGCGCGATGACCGGGCTTTCGAGAGGTATCCTGGCTGGATAGAGCATATAGAGAGAGAAGGAGAGAGGACGACGTATCATTTCAGTGAGATAAACAGTATTCAGGGTGCGAGGTTATGGGGAGGCCGAGGAACTGACGTTTTGGGAGGATCCCCTCCTGCCTGCAGGACCGCGAGTTTCGCGAACGAGAAGGTGAACAGCCAAAGAGCGATCTCTCCGCCGCGCGTTCAACGTTAAATATGGACCGCGATCTCGAATTTTATCTCATAAATATGCCACCGCGGTTTCTTTTGTCTCCTCCCTACTTTTACAGCAGAGGACGCTTTTCTTCTGCTGTCCGCTTTTGCTGATTTGTATCATACGCTTGTAGCTCGAACCGGTGCGAACGTGAGAGTCGCGTTCAAATGCGACACAGAAGACGGATGACCGGTCTCTGTGAAGCAGAGCAGCGTTTAGCGTTGAATGCGCGGCGAGAACCGCGAGAATGCGGTCCCTCGATTTCGCCGGGGCGGGCGAGCCGTCTGCGGCTCAAACGAGCCGGTCGCGTGCGAGAGCGAACGCGTGGAGGCGCAGGGCCGGTTTTGAGATACCCTCGCGACGCGTAGCCTTCATCTGCACTCGTTGACCCTCACCAGTTAATCGACTTTCCGCTTTTTTTTTTCTCCATGTCTCGCAAATCGTAGCGGTCGATTATGTGTACAGACGATATTAAACAGCCTGCCTAAGACTATTTGTTGACATAATCATTCCCATTGTATATGTATTTGGCATGGAAAAAAATGACTTTGTGTCAACAGCAGTTTAATTGAAATTAATCTTTATTCAGTAACAATATTAATGAAACAAGTAACATTTGATTTGAAACAAAACGTGGCCTATTTGTTTTATTAATATTGCCATTAAATTAACAAGATTATTTTCAATTAATGCTGTTGCTACATTTTTTACGTATAAGTAAAAAACTTACGCGCGTCTGCAACATGCTCCTTCAAAATTTCTAGACTTATAATGTTATTAATTGTGCGAAATGGTGCAAATTGATGTAGTTTTTTAAGCCCTAGACGATCAATTATTACTGCACAATATTTATTGATTAATATAATATTATAGCATAATATTGTACAAAATGATTGATCGTCTGGGGGCTATATTGAGGGTTTGTTATGAATTGTTTAAAGAGATTAATATAATAATCTCGTGATATTCCACAATATAATTGTACAATAATATTGATCGCGCGCGTGTGTAAGAACCGCTTTAGAAAGAGTCTCGTATTTATAATAACTAAATCATTAAAATGGAATGTAATTTTTTCGACCACTGTCGGCTTTCTTATGTCAAACACGGCGATGCCGCGTTTGCCGTTAGCCTCGCACCGGCCCTGCGTGGAAACGTTTGCATTCGCAATAAAGGCCGCGGCACCGTTCGCGATCGGTCGGCGTTGCTAAGCGCGCCGGCGATTTTTATTTAAAAGTCCGCCTCTTCTGCATTCTCTGTTCCGCGAAGCGACTTCGCGTAAAGTAGCCTTTTCGCTTCGTCTCTGATGTCTCATTTTGTCTCTCGATTTTTATCTGGCGTGATTAGAAGAGATATATTAATCATTGTTCCAGAAGAGGCGAACAAAGTATTTGCTCTTTACATACAAGTATTTGCATTATTTATTTTGTTCTATTATCAATCTTCATTTAAAAATTGAGAGAAAACAGCTGATGTGCTCCAACAAGATGAAGATGAGATAGTTGACAAAATTTATTCTGGTTTGTTTCTTTCAAGCAGGTTTAGCAAGATGGTTTAATGGTTTCGAGAAATCATTAAATCTGATTATTTTTCTCCCAGCATTTTAGAATTATGCGTTACAAAGAAAAGAAATCCTGTCAAAAATTAAAGATTTTGTTCCACGAAGCTACTTTATAAATCCCGCTCGTGCCAAGTAAGATACCTATTCGTACTGACACTCGACGCTCACTTTTAGCGTCAAAACAGATCAAAATTGACAAATACTAAGCGTCAATTTTGATGTGATCTGTTTTGACGCTAAAAATGAGCGTCGAGCGTCAGCATGAAACCTTAAAACGAAACGAAAGTCGAGAAGAGGAACGATATGTGAAAAGCAGAATCGCTTCGAGGAACAGAGTACTTTATTCGGTTGTACAAACGAAGTCTGAAGAGCAAGGCGAAAGTCTGCTAAAATCGCTTCGCGAATTATAGAGAGTACCCGGCCTTCGTTTATTATAAAAGCGAAATTCGAAGAATCGAGCGAAAGGCCGCAAAGTGTTCGCCGCCGTAGAACATTTTTTTTTTATTGTAGAAACAAAATTCAAGGTACCGGCCTGCCTACGGCGATTACGAACTTTCGAAATGAAATGGTAGGTATATAAGTTGGCGACGAGATCGAAGGGCGAGCTGATCGACAAAATTTTACATTTTTATCCTATTGGAATGCCTTTAAGGTACGATTTCATGCTGACGCTCGACGCTCATTTTTAGCGTCAAAACAGATCACATGATCAAAATTCGACGAATACCAAGCGTCAATTTTGATTGATGTGATCTGTTTTGACGTTGAAAATGAGCGTCGAGCGTCAGTATGAAAAGGCACCTTTATTCATCTTCGGACTAGCGCTACGCGAGAGTTAATTACTAGAGTTAATTAAACTATTGACCATTGTGGTCCATTTTCACTAATGTATGGTTACCTAAAAAAATTACTAAGAAGTTTATTGTTTCACGACGTTTGTTTAAAACTTAACCATCAAGTTAATTTGATGCCAACTGATGTACACGTAACTTTTAGTTTATTTCATCATAAGCTTATGAAAGTATGTTTTAGTTAATTTTTAAGTTTTAGTTAACCTATAACCTTTTCGTTAACCATATATTATGAAAATAGGCATGCGCGAGTTACTTTTATTTCCAGCAAAGTTATATTTAATTTAATTGAACAATATATCACTTCTCGCAGATTATATTTTTTATCGTTCGTACGAAGCGTTAATTGTAAGCTGATGATAATCACAGAATTTTTAACGGTACTATTGTATATAATTTGTTCCGCGCGACTTCTCTTTCTACTTACATCCTCGTATAAATTTGGAAAATGATTTTACGGAAACTTTTGAAAAGATATGATTTGTATATTTATAACAGATTAATTTTAGGCATGCATATAAAGTTGATAGGAATACGCAGAGATGCATGTTCAAAGCTATCGCTACTGGAAATTTCGCTGGTATAAGCGCGATTCTTATCTTACCTAATGGGAAGTGATGCGATAGAGGAAGCAAAAAGCGGTAGCGGTGACCGAGAATAGAGCAGATTCCATCGAGTTCCTTGAACGTTCGACTTCTCTCTCTTTCTACGAACGTACCACGATATTTTCTCGTATAGGTTTTTGAATTTCGAATTATGAATAAACCCCCGATGTAGCTTAATATTCTTCGGAATTAATTAACTTCCATCAATGACAAAACGTTAATGAAATCCTTTGAAATAATGGATCATGCCAAGAAAGATATTTTTGAATAAGTGTTTATTTCACAGTTCGCATTTGATAAATTGAGATTTTTTTAAATCTTTTTTATAATCCGAGAGTCATGATTGTTAATTTATTTTGTGTTGAGAGCTTTTAATTCACACAAGTTCAGTTATTTAGTTGATTAATTTACTAATTTATATTAATGTATTTCCTTTATTCAATTTATTAAATGCATATAATTTAAAAACGTCAAAATTATAACGAAACATATAAGGTCTTCGCAGATCTTACAAAATTTTATCATATTTCCTTTCGGCATAAAATGACACAATCTCGCGGCAACAGCGATTCGCGTATACGAGGAGGATTAAAATATTCATTTGTCTCGACAAATAATAACTTACCGTGGCATCGGAACGTATTTAATAGACAGCCAAGAGTAGGCTTCTCAATGAACACGTCTCCCCCGTAGATTTCGGTGACGCCAGCTGATGATGCTCGCCACGCTTCGCTGCTTGCGATAAGTACTTCCGTAAAAAAAAAAAAAAAAAACGTACATTAGGCGGGCGGGGTCTACGAGGACCACATGGCACGGGGTTCGAATTCGTGCGAGAGTTTATAACTCCAATTGCACCGGTAAACGGTTGTTTTACATGTAGCGAGCGATAACCGCTAAGAATAGCGCGGCATCAGCGTTGGATCATCTCTTCTCAGGAGGGACGCGATGGCAGCCTCGGCCGGAGGATGTGCCGGGGAATGTCCATTGTCCAGATGGTATTGTTTTGTAATTGTCTACACGTAAATAACCCAGCTGGAGTGTCACCGAGATACGATCGCCAAACAAAACCGCGCGCTTTGCCTCATAGGATATTTTCCTTTTTTTTCTCTCTCCTTGCGGTTTTTCTCCGCCGTACACCTAGTAGCCCGCGCTTCTCTTTTCTAACGAGCATCTCATCTTTGCGCGCTAAAGCAGTTGACTGAGGCATCGGTTAACGGTTAACGGTTGAATAATAACGCGTCCAGTTTGAGCTCGCCGCAAACTGGTTTATTCAAATTCGAAGCCGAGGCCGGTTCGATAGCCGATCCGGCGGCGGCTTTAATACGGATCCCCCGTCAATTAAGTGAAGCGAATTTGAATCCGAGCGTAAACCGGTTTAAACCACTCCTCGGCGGAGTTCATATTCGGTTATATGCGGCATTAAAAATCCTTTACGCGGAACGGGGGCCCGACCATCAATTAACGTAATACATTGTTAAACGATGTCTCTTATTTTTTTTTTTTTTTAATGCGGCGAAAACTGAAGTTAGCGAAGCGATATGAAAAGCGATACAAGCGATACGGAATTATTGGCGATTAATCAAGGATTTTTAGAATTAATAGCATGTATCTGTTTTATTTTAAGAAATGATACTTATCGGGATTTAGATTCAAGAATCTTGACTATTTACTGCAGGCATCTTGAATTGTGACGTCAGAAGAAAATTCTTCTATAGCTATATTAAAGCTATATTAAAGCTATATTAAAATGTAAATATTTTTTAGTGAAATGACATTTGCAATCGACAGAATAGATTTGTAAAATATCCGAAAAATATCCTCTCCTTGTGTTTTAATCATTGATAACTATATATTCGGAATTTAATTGTGCATTTAATTGTGTGTAATAAAAAAAAACAAATCAAGCTGTATAGTACGATAGCTATTGAATTGAAATAAATACAATTTTATTCTATTCCTAGATAAAAGGAGAGTTTTATGTTTTTATATTTTACACGTGTATTCTATCAAATGTGAATATTGTTTTATTGAAAAATACTTCTATTTTAATATACTTCGCAAAAATTTTAATTTCTATTTCATTTTATACTTTGCAAGAGTTTCTGATGTTATCGATCTAAATATCCGTGGTGAGTCAGGAGCTCTTAAAAATCTGTTATCAAATATCATAATTCGGTAAGATAAAACTTTCAGTCACTGAACGTGTCTTCTCGAAACGGATCAAGATTAATGCGCACGTTCTAAGAAAAACATCATTAGATGACATTAGACATCCTCACGCCGCACTATTAGATGATAATGATTCGAAAATCGTCGCTATCTGAAAATCGCGGATACGACTCGTAATATGACGATTAACATATTTTATCGCTGGCGGTGATTTACGATCGTAACGAGTGCCTCGCGGGAAAATCATTTCATCGAGGAATTAATCGACAATCTGCCAATTTTTGCGGCATTAGTGATTTGCGGCATTAGAGTCCCTCTCTCTTTCCTTTTCTCAATTCTGTTACAAGAATCGAGATGATCCGAGTATTAAAAAAAAAACATACATGATATAGCGTCAAGAAAAATCGTCCAGATACTTTTCTCGGTGATTTTTTTTGAGCGCGTTTTGCATCCAACTCTTTTTCGAGAAGTCCCTAGGAAGCGGAGCTTGCTATTGGACACATTCCGGAAATCGGCGAGGAAAATCTCAAAAATTTCGACTGTACATATACCGGAAATTTGATCGCGCGATTCAATAATGGTGGGAAATAATGGTGGGTCATTGCTCGAATCGTTGATTTTCGTCGTGACTCACAATCAGTCAGCATTTATTTTTCTTTTCGACCAGATTTGCTTTTGTTTTTTTTCTCTTTCGATGCAATTTGTCGCGAGCAAAAGTAAGCTGTCGACTTATTTCGGGCCGGTTTGCGCCTTTCGGGCGCCGCGATGATCTTGAAATCCGACACGATCGCTTAATAAAGAGGCGCCGTACAGCCAGAAGGCAAACAAAGTTCGATCCCGCGCACGATTCAGCAGAACTGTTTGCTTAGCTGTCAATAATTAAAACACGATTCCTTGTCATTGAATTAAAACACGGTCGCGACATTTATATACGGGGCCACGGTCCCGCTTCGGCGTGGCGCAAACAATCGATCGATCGAGGAGAGAAAGAGAGAGAGAGAAAGAGAGATTACATTGACGTTTGCGTCCTCGCGTATAGCGCACATACTTACATGATGGATTAAATTGAGATGTCTTCGACGAACCGTCGAATTAATTAGCCATTACGCTCGCGCGTATTAAGCTAATATTACATTTGTCCGTTTTTGTCGTACGACAAATTTTCCAAGCCTGTTGAACGGCTGTAGGATAGAGAATTCCGAGAGACCTTCTCTGTCTTGTAATAGTCTTATAGTCGTCAATCAACGCACACGTGGATTGGCGCCAAGTTATCGCCGACCGGCGTCGTCCAGTCGACCACGTGCCTCGCAACGATGCAATTCGTAGCGAGTCGCGTGAGTAATATATATTGTCTTTAAACAAGAGTACGAATATATCAGAAAAACGTGTTATATATATGTATATATAAAATAAAATATATATGTAATATAATATACATGATAAAAGACATTAAGTGTTTCATTAAAAAATAAATAATTACGAAAACGAGGATTATTTTATCGCCGTCTAGAGACTTCAATAATAATTAAAAATAAGTAAAAAAATTTTTAAGTGAAAAGAAAAGAAAATAAAAAGCTAAGCAAACTCTCTAGTTGTAATTATATATTGATAACATATTTGTAACATCTCTTTTATATCATTATTACATTCTTGAGACTAGAGATATTTATCAGAGGGTCTTGGCTGAAAAAAATTCATACCGTTCGGAATTACAGAGCAGCGCTTCGTGTTTGTACAGTGAGTGCATACGGCGTAAATCCTTCTACCGTGATTAAGGACGGCGATATTACCGGCTTCGTAATCGCTGCGGTGATAATGATTCGATAGGAGTCTGGCTGCCGGAAAGCGCTGTCACACGTGCATCCGCGTGGGAACGAGGTGACACGACGTGTCACGGATACGGAAAAACGACCGTGGTCCGAACGTGGTTTGGCCTGTTCGGTAATTAGATGAACTCGTGTATTAAATTAAACCCATCCGCGAGATAATCACGAATGCGACGTTCCGGGCAAGGGTAATTTCATAATTGGCGCACCCACACGTGCTCCTCCGCTTAATTGTCGCGAGGTCGACAAGGCCAACAAAAAAGGTCTCTTTATGTCTGTTCACCTTGAACCCTTGGGGAGAAGTGCTCTCTCGAATCTTCCTCGGACTTCTTAGAAAATTTCGTTCTCAGGAAAGAATTTATTTGACAAAAAATCTACATCTTCTGGAGGGCAGGTTGATCGCAAGAATTTGTATATTAATTCTGTAATGCTCGAGTATTAGACATTAATTTTCAGTAATAATGAATTTTTAATAATATACCGTTATACGAGAGAAAATAATGTTGTACTGACAGCATCAGCTCGCAGCATCTAATTGAAAATAATCTCGTTAATTCAATAATAGTATTAATGGTATACAAATGCGCCTTGCTCTTATTTTAATAAAATATTATTTGCTTTATTTACTGAATAAACAAGATGATTTTCAATTAGATTACTGTTGACCAATATTGTTAATACAACGTAATTTTTTTCCGCGCAGAAACGAGTATTAATAGCGATATTAATTTTAGTTTTAATTGATTTGCGTGATACATTTGTGCATACTATTTCAAGAAACTTTATTTAAAATTGCATTTAAAATTGCAGTTAAAATTGGCAATTTAATGTCTCTCATCAGAAATATCTTGATCGTTTATTATTGGCATCGCTGAAAAATCTCCGCACTTTTAATACTTTTCCCATATTCGAGACATTTCGGTAGATTTTCAAATACGGACGCGATTAATATAGACACAAACATTTCACACGATGCTAAAGCGTATTTGATTAAGTCTTATCAAGCCTTTTATGTTAAGTCGAATGAGCTGTACGCTCCAATTTTCAACAGGTGCGGCAGTATTCCATTTTTGGCTTTAATTATTGTAATTATATGCGGCCGTGAATGAATATACTAATTTAAAATATTAGCTGGAACCATTAATTTTCCAAAGTGCACTGTTTTTTAATCGGTTAATAGGTGGAATTTTTTGTACAATACGTAATATTTAAAATTGAAGGTTAAAGTGTATATTATTTGTAACATCAGCATTTTTAAAAGTTACATATAATAAAAAAAATGCCTTTTATTTAATGTAACGATAATCAATGCGATAAAAGGCGATGTCTAAACTTTTCTACGAGAAAAAAAAAACGAGAGGATAAATATAACATTCAAATAACGATTGTCGACAGGTGACCGCGTCGGATGTTATCGGGTGACCGCCTTGGCAAATCGATAAATTCCCGAAGAGGAAACCGAGGAGAGAAATTAGATTGCCGTTTGATCGACCATTGTACACGCGGCCACTCGATCTTGCGGTGCCACCGAATCGCAGCGCGGCACCTAACATAAGCCAGTGCGGAAAGGAAGAAGTGCGAGGAGAGAAAAAGCAGACGGCGGAGACATGGCGCACGAAAACGGGATAAACGGCGGCGACACCGACTCGGAGACGGTGGAATTGAATCCTCTGAGGAGAACGAGATTCCACGTGAATCGGGTCGACAGCCTCGAAGGCCGGGCCAGCCTTCTGGGCGAGCAGGAGACCAGGAAGTCCCTCAGATACATGACCAGGGAGGCCCTGCCCAGGCTGGACAATTACAGGAACATCATGAGCATCCAGGCGGCCCACAGACCCTCCTTGGACGAGTTGCACAATCCCACTCTCCTGAACAAGGTGAGGCCTTAACGACTTCTCCGAAGGCAACGTCGTTGCCGCCCTTTTGCCATTGATCAAATATCGGCGGCGCTCCGATATATACCTATACGACTTTATTCGGCGTCTTTTTATCGGCGCAAAATTTCGAGGGAAAGAGATCAATGTGCAACACTTTCTCTTCTCCCCGTTTTATATTATACAATCGCTACTTTATTTCGCTTATATGATAGCTTAAGTTTATCTTACGCGCCAGGGAAAACATTTGTCGTGCAGCAAGTTGCAGCATAAAATGATTACGCGATATCGTGTAGAATTTTATTTGACGAGACGCGTTATACGATGACGCCACAGCGAAGAGATTGCGCGAGAAATGTTAATATATTCCACGATTATACGGCATAATAATGAAGTGCGGCCGATAAAGGCAAAACTCAATAACGATAACGAGTGACACATCGCGAGGAAAGTACGCGTGTCGCGTCTATGACCGTTCGTTCATTAATGCAGCAGTAGTGTGTAAAAATTGATATTTCTCTTCGCGATAAGAATCTGCCGGGTCGGCAGAGATGCGAGAGTGCCGAGTTGCATAATGGGCTTCTCGGAAGGATGAAGTCCGCATCAGCCGCGAAAAACGAGAACTGTAAGAAAGCTTTTACATGGAAAGCCTTACGGCCACCGGCGCCGTGGTAAAAGACAGACGTACACGCGCGCGTATACATGCATATATGTATATATGTATACGGGCGCGAGATAAACGCGCGAATCTTTATCACGTCGGTGCACAAATCCTTGAAGATAATACACGCGTTCTCGCGTGGCGCGTCACGCGTACTCTGGCATTCACCCGCTTCGCGATTTTTCGCTCGTTATCTACAGCCCCCCGTTCGCTCCGCGTAGAATGAATATCTAAAATTAAACAGGAATCTTACATGCGGGCGCTGTGTAGTGTTTAGTATATCCGCCGCATACGATTGCACAGCCCCGCCACGTTTCTCGATACGCGCTCCAGAAGGTAGCCCAAGAAAGCGTGTACCAGTGGCACGATTGAATTTCCTGGTGCAATCCTCAATTACGATTTTTATCTTTGCCTTATCGAATTATTTAAATTAATTCAGAAGAGAGGAAGTTGCACGCACTGCACATACATACATATGCATATCAGTCACAAACGTTAATTATATAAATCTTAAATTTTTAAATGTTTTTAAATCTTCTTTAAATAGATTTTGATCCAAGAAAGTGACTTTCTAGTGAAATAAAATCTTATTTACGTATTTTTATTGATTAAAGGGAGTTCGGAATTAATTCATTCTTTATTTTATTTACGTATATTTGATCGCGATTAAAATTTTTGCTGTTATGTGAAAATTTCACTTTTTTTTTTTTTACTTAAATTTCACGTTTATATTACTAATGCTATTATTGATTATCTTTTTTTCTAGGATTATACCACGTTTACAATCAATTCTTATAACGCATACACAGCGCGCAAGACGATAACGCAGCACGTGCGTGCAGCTCCCTTCTTTTTGCCAGCGTGGTCGACACGCGGTATTAATTACGCTCGCTCGAACGATTCGTAAATCATCGCGCAATTGCAGAGATTGTTAATTGTGCAATTAACCCGCCGCGCTGAACGCAAAAGCGTGGCGCCGAGATTCCGTCGCGCGGCTAGTGCATCTCCCTCTCCCCGCATCACGTCTCTCTCGCCACGTTGGGCAAAAGCCGGGCGGAAAAGTTCGCGGTTTATTTATCTCTGCCGTTCAAACGCGGGAATGGAAAACGCGATACCGTACGTAAATATAGAACGTGCCGCTGAATTTTTTATTGCCTTACGTGACGATTCGTCGCGACTTTACGATGCCACGATGGACACCGTTATCAAGAGCGGTGTAACGCTGCTGCAGCGCGACGTTAAATATTTGCGATGACTACTTTCGTGCACGTAGTTTGTGTTTTTAGGAGTATTGTCCCAGTTATGACGACACGTACTGCACTAATTGCAGTTGTGCGTCGCGATTACTCAATTCAAACAGGACTAATCTCTAATTTAATCTTAATTACATACAGTCAGTGGCACAAGAGTGTCGTCAGGAGCTTTCTGAGAGAAACTGGAGTGTATTAAAAAGTGAAGTTATATTGCAAAAGTATATTAAGTGCACTAAAATGCATATTTTACTTAATAAGGTGTCTTATTCAGTCACCATTATTATTGATTACAGTTTGTCGCAAATATTTATTTTTTAATTTGTTAAAATCTACACGGAGAGAATTTCCTTTTAAAATTTACTCTGAAAATCATGTTAATCGACAATATAGTATTTCGATAAATTTTATTGTACACTACAATAAATTTTACTGTGCACTACAATATTTGTAATTGTAATATAATACTAAAAAATATAGTGAAAATCACATAAAATTCGTCGAAATACTATGTTGTTCTACGATTAACATGATTTTCAGGATTTTAAAATAAAATTCCGTGTATATATCTATTTTTAATTTATTAATATTGTTTGTCGTATTTTTTTTTTTTATTTAGAAGACTTGTCCTAATTCTGGATGTCGATATACCAATGTAGCACGATTTAGCAATGATTACGATTACATACGTGCTGCATTTTCAAGTGAATCAGTATGCGGGTACGCAAAAAGATTTTACTCGGTAGATTTACTACGCGTTCTTTTTCCGCTATGAATCAGCCCGTTACGCCCAAAAACGTTATCCAAGCGTGAAACGAATGCTGATTGTCCTTGTGATACTTCAGATAGGTGTGCGCGCGGTCAGATTGTTTGGTATATAACGCTCGATTTCGTTTCCGCCGGGCCAATGCCCGTAGGAATTTTTATTCACTCATTGTCAGCAATTAAAATTTTTACGAGGCAAAAATAATGCAGACTTTCATCTGTCTGATATTTGCACACCGTGAGCATTTTGCATCGTTGCGGAAAACGATATGGTCCCATATTATTTTTGAAATTCGAGAGAAACTACATTCTCATCTTTCAAAATAATTAGTGTTCTCTAAATTTTCCGGAGTGAATCTCACTCCAAAAGAGTGAAAGTTCGAGAGTGCTGTTGCAATTCTGCAGGGTTTACATATTGCGCAATTGGTAAAATGATATATTGGCTGAACGAAAAATTCAATCAAACAGAACGATCGCGACGGCGAAATAATTAGTGCTCTCGTAATTTTGCAGGATTTACATATTGCGCAATTGGTAAAAAGATATATTGGCAGAATGACAAATTCAATCAAACAGGACGACCGCGACGGTGAATACACAGAATTCTTTTACTGTCAATATTTTGTAGATTTCGCACGACGTAATCGAAAGGCTATTTAGACAGCTCATATGAGAGGAGACTTACAACTAAAGAGAAAGGGGATAAAACTTACACGGTTGATCGCTTACGTGAAGGAATGACACGATTGCATACTGGGTCACGGAGAATTAGTGTATATGTATTTAAACAAATTCAGAAAAAGCGTCACGTAGACTGTAAGCCACGGCTCGCATTCTGCACGGCATAAATATCGACGAGACGTCTTGTGCCAATAAGAGACCGCGATTGAAAAGCATTCGCACGAACTCTAAAATATTACGAAATGTATTTCGAAATTTATTGAAGAGATCAAAATATTTCATTAAAGGACGCATTTTAGTGTAGAGGAAAAATATATCAATAATAGATTTTAAAGATCAGAAATAATCAGAGTGTAAATGATAACTGAAAAATATGTAATGTGGGCCAAAAAAAACGGGAAGTTTTCTTTGCATGTAATTAAAATTAATTAAATGGAATTTCTAAGTTTTTATTTCACTACTTTAAATTTTCCTTAACTCACCTTGTGTTAGCATAATGTGCGGAAATATGCAGAGAGACTTTAATAGCGCAGATATGCTACATAATGACGAATGACGAATAAAATTATACGTGTACACACGACACGCTTTGACGTAATGAGGGAAATATATACGTATAGAAAGCATCGAGTTCAACGTGTTAAGTTCGAATTATCTATGCAACAGATGTTGCGCCGTTAGTCATGCTTCATTTAATGCGAGCGAGGAAGTTTTTCAGACGTGGATTACACACAGTACATATAGCGCGTATGAAATCATGCGACTCTCGCCGCGGAGTTCGGTATAAACTGGTTGGGTCAAAGTGGAGGACCCGTCACGTTCGCTCGGACAATTAAAGTCCGCCGTTCGAGATGATGACAAATACCCCCGAGACCGCTCTCGTCAGATCTCCTAAGCCGAGACGATGTGGATCCTTCCAGAAGGATCCAGAAATGTGACACGCGGAAGATCAAATCCACTCACGTGCCACGTCGATAGATATCACGTGTAATTAGACAAGCGAATTTAAGTCACGAGCTCTCGTCGTAACTGGACTGTTGATAATTGCGCGACATTTCTCTCACATGTTCTCTGGTCGTGTTGCGCAATTTTTCGGGTCAGGCTGACGTTGTTAATTGGCGGTAATTAGCGGTTCTCCACTTCTTTCTAGATCGTGGCTCCATATAAATAAGAGAGGTTGATTGCCGACACTGGCGTGTTAAATGCCATTGTTATACATTGGGCCCAATTGTCAATTGCGTTTGAGAAGGTGAGACAAATTTGACGGATCCGGAATAAAGGATACCTTCGCAAACACATTTTTCATTCCATAAAGAAACGTGATACTTTGATAAGAATCTGATATAAATTGAACTGAATGGATTTGTATCCCGCATTTAATGGGAACACGAATAGCTTTATTTGTCTTTATGTCAATATCGTTCGCCGCTATTTACACGCGCGAGATTCGATTTTTAATACACCACTGTACTGATTAAATAGCGTGTTGACTTTTGCGTGTGACAAAAGAAAAAATTTCAGCTTAAATCGCGTGACGTCCATCATTATAAAGAATTGCGAGTATAATTATGCTAAACGAGCAAACAATGTAAAAGATTTTAATGATTATGTTTTGCGATCGTAATTGACAGATCAGCTGTCGATTCAAATTGGATCTATCACACGAAGAGAGACAGGATCTCCATACAAATTTAAAAAAAATAATTTTCTTACATCTTATGGACGTGAAACAGACGCGATATAAAAAAGGCACAGACATAAAAAAAAACTGTGTAAAATATTTTGCACTTTTTCCAGAATTAATTCTCTGTGGCCCGTATGGCTTTGCGAACGACCGATTGAATCGTTTACATTTGCGGCTTGATATGGCGGCGTCAATGGGCCCAGTAAAAAGCGTACTCGGAATAAATCACGAGCCTCTGAGAGATAAGCGTGTTATTTGAATATATTCGTGGCGTGTCGTAGTGAAAGATATGAGCCATACACGAGGAGCATATTGAAAGAAGGTTCACCATATATAGAGGGCCGCTATTCTTCTTCTGTGCCGTCGTAAACCACTTACGCTCCTTGTGTACGTATACGATGCGTGCGATTCATAAATGCTTGATCGAAAAGTTTCGCCTTTGTAGTTTTTCGAGCGATTGCTCTCTAAGGATCTCAAAAATGAGTAACTAGATTTACAGTTTCTCGTGACATATTGCTAGAAGTAGGAGAAGGAGGTTTTCAAACTTTGGTAATCCAATTGGATTATTTGCGATAATTCATATAATGAAACTCACGAAAAGACTTATCTAATTTACTGACAAAAAGTAAAATTTCTTTTCACTGTAGCTTTTTAAAAATTTGTCTATTTTTTAAAATAGTGTCATAAATTTTTTTTACAAAAATTTTTACGATAAAAATAAAAAGAAAAATCTTAGTCCACGGAGAGAATTTTCTTTTAAAATTTACCCTGAAAATCATGTTAATTGTGAGACAATACAGTATTTAGGTAAATTTTACTGTGCACTACAATAAATTTTACTGCGAAATCTTATTGTAGTGCATAGT